CCACCAGTAGGGGCGGTCGTTGTCTTGCTCCCACTTGCGCGCGACGCCTCGGCGCAGCCGCGCCTGCACCCTCGCCAGCACCATGATGACGGCGATGGGCCTGACGCCGCCGAGCCGCTTCTGGATGAAGCCGATCTTGGTTGTCATGAGCGGCCAGGCTGCTTCGCGCTCGACGGCCACTAGGATGTCGATCAGCACCTCCAGCGCTTCGTCGCACAGCTCGTCTAGCTGCCGCGGCCGAACGGAGCAGAAGGACATGCCCGTGCTGCCCTTGAACGAGCGCAGCACCTTGCGGAGCTCGGGGACCGTGGGCCTGGGCGGCCTCTCGCCGAGGTCGGCTGGCCACTGCAGCCGCACTTGCTCACAGGTAGTCCTCCACCAGCGGCTCCACTCGACCTCCAGCGCCGTGACCTGCTGCCCCAGGTCCATGGGCTCGAACAGCTTCTGGTGGTCGTCGGCGTCCTGGCCGCCCACGGCGTCGCCGTACGGGCTGGAGTCGAACCCGACGGGCAGGCGGGACACCGCATGTAGACCACCTCCACCGCCTTCGGCCTGCTTCTCGACCCAGTGCTGGAACTGGACGGTGCGCTGGGCCATGTCCTTCTCAGCCATGTCGAGCGCCACCGCTTGCGCCCCAGCGTGCAGCTGCAGCAGCTCAGCGGGGGTCAGCGCCGCCAAGCGCAAGTTGCTAAGCAGCGACCACCATGCTACAGCTTGGGGCAACACCTGAGGGCAGGACAGAACCTCGCCAGCATCAGGTGCCGCCTTCACTGTGACTGGGGCTCTGTCTAGCAGCCTACGCGCACCTCGAAGAGCGTCGAGACGCGCGTTGGGCTGCTCCACGTCGGCGATGTCCCGCAGCAGGCTGGCAGCACGGTGCATCCATGTCGCCTCAGCCGAGACCCGCGGCCAGCGCGCGCCACTTACGGGCAGCCGCCGAAGCCAACGTGGCTCCACGGGGCGAGCTCGCCCCTTGTGCTTGAACCTGTCCTCCTCGACCTGGTAGATGTCGATCCACTCGTCCTCGGCTGCGTCGAGGAACCTCTGCCATGCGGCGGTGAGGTTACCCTTGACGTCGGTGCTACCCTGGACCTGATCCCGCACACACACCTCCAAGTGGCACGATCTTCCCTCACTCACGGGCCCCGCAACGGGCGGCGGTGAGGTCCCACGGGAAACGTCCAGGCACTCCGACTCCTGCGCGCCTGCCAGCACGCTCTGCAGCTCGTGGCCGATCTCGGCCCAGCGGTCGCCGTGTGCGACGCGAGCACATCCAGCAGGCCGCTGGACAGGGAAGGGCTTGGGCACTGGCACGACCCGAACCCACGGCCGTTGGCGACACGCCTCCAGCTCCAGGATGACTGGCTTGTGCGGGTAGACGGGCGACCCGCTGACCACGCTGATGCTGGTCACCTTGAGCCCACGCGAGACGATGAACATGTCGATCGTCCGCTTCGACTGCGCGCAGGTGGGCTCCAGCGTGTCGACGACGACCGCGTCGAAGAGCCGCAGCACGCCTGACTTGGCCAGCTCCTGCTTGGTACAGTTGAAGTCGCCCCCGACCACGTATGGGCGACCGTACTCGCGCAGCCTGCAGGCCAGGTCGCGCAGCATCTGGGCGTTGAACGCGTTGACGCCGACGCCTGACTGCAGGTAGATGTTGGCCATCACGATGCCGCCTCGCAGCAGCCCCGAGTGATGGAGTACTTGCACGCGCCCTTCTTGAAGCACAGAAGGCCGCGACCCCAGCATGGTGGCAAGGCCATGCTCGCTGCGCACACAAGTGAGCAGCCCCCCAGTTGCCAGCCCTCCGGCCAGCGATTGCACCGCGGCAGCACCACATGCTCGAAGCCCTCGACGGCGAAGCTCCCCTTCAGCGTCCGCCGTGCGCGCCTCTCCCAGCCGCGTCTCTTGGAACAAAATTGCGTCGCAGCTCGTCAGCTCCTCGACCAGGCACTTGTCGATGTTCGAATACGCATTCATATTCAACGTGACGACACGCCAGGAGCTGCTGCGGCTAAAGCTTCCGCCGCTTGGCCTCCATCGCGGCGACGTGCTGTTGCTGCAGGTGGGTCTGCAACTCCTCGAGGAACTTCCGCTTCTCCGCGTCCGTGCCGATGAAGTCCTCCGCCGCGGCCTTGAAGGTGTCGCCCGTCGCGAAAGCCAGGGGGTCGCTCTCCAGGTCCATGTCCTCGGACTTGCCCACGGGCTTCTCGGCGGCATCGTCGGCTGCCCCAGCGGCGGCGGCAGCGCGGCCTGCAGGTGCAGCTCCTCCACCGCATCCTCCAGCAGCGACTGGTTCAGGTGGCGCGGCAAGCGGGAGGAGGAACGAGGAGGATGAGGAGGAGGAGGAGGAGGAGGAGGAGGAATGAGGAGGAGGAGGAATGAGGAGGAACGAGGAGGAAGGGGGGGATGAGGAGGAGGAGGAGGAGGAGGAGGAGGAGGAGGAGGAGGAGGAGGAGGAGGAGGAGGAGACGACGAGGACGAGGAGGAGGACGAGGAGGAGGAGGAGGAGGAGGAGGAGAAGGGGGAAGAGGGGGGAAAGTGCCGCCCGAAGCATGAGGCCAACGCCGCCCGAGCTTGCGACGGAGCTCGCCGAATATTCTGCACTGAAAAGCGGACCCGCCGACAGCCCACGAACCTCAGTCCAACCCTACACTTCCTCGGTTTCCAGCGAGACGCAAGACTTATGTTGCGCCCATCGGACTCAAGGACCACATCCCAGAAATAGTTTCGAGCACACCGAAAAGTGCCGAAACAATGTCGAACGAGTGTCGCCTCAGGGCCCGACACGCGAAAACCCTGCAGATGCGGTACGGCTGGACCTAAGACAGACGAGCATCCTTCAAGTCGTGGGTCTATCACCGCACCGACCTTGCAGACGTGCTGCAGCGGGTTTGCGCGCGAATTTCTGTCCATGCAAGACCCCGAAACGGCGAGTGAAACACGAGGTGAACTTCGCGCGGATTTGCTTCAATCTTCGCTCCTGGCCCCTCAGCAAAAATCCAAACAAAATTCGCCTTGAAATCCAGAACGAAATTCTCTCGGACACTCCCGGCCCATCCTGTCATTTTCCGACGAAAAAAAACCGCTCTGCGATGTTCGTCTTCCCCTCCCTTCCCATATTTTCCTGGGACTCGACGATTAATTGTGTGTGTTTCTTTCTTTCCTGCTATAACCTAAGACAGAAAAGCATCCTTCAAGTAGGGGATCTACTGAGCACTGAGCACTGAACGCTCCCGCAGATGTGCACAGTCTACGGTGCTGCGGGTGCGGCGCTGGAGCGCCGGGGTTCTAGACAGGTCGCGCGGCTCACTCGTTTCTCATGTGCGGTGCGTTGTGCATATCGGAAGCTGGACGAGGGCTGGCAAATCCGTGGCTGCTAAAACGGCCTTCCCGGAAGGAAAAAACACAGATTCCCAGAGCGAAGCTCAGCGCACTGAATAGTAAACGGGCTGCTTCCCGGAAGGAAACAGAAAAAGTCCCGGAGCTCCGTTTTAGCAGCCACGGGTTTGCCATCCGTCGTCTGGCTTCTGAATATATTCAGACCGGGGTCAATCTAGACCCGGGCCAATCAGGCCTTGCAAAATCCTTCCTGCAGGATCTTGCAGGATCCTGCGCCCAAGCCCGGGTCAATGCGCCCCTGGCCTTGCGGCATCCTGCAAGACCCGGCGCTCTGAGTGACCCCCGTTTGCACTGACCCCCGTCTCAAGGCTCCCGATCAAGAACACGACACCCTCCGCCGGCCAAACCATAGGGCGGGGGTGGACAGAACCCCCTTTAGTAAAACGTGGTTTTGTGAAAACGACCTCTGGCCCAAACCTGGCGGGCGCAAGCCTGGAAAATGACGGCCGCGGCGCCCTCTCGAGAACCGAAAACGGACAATTCACTAATCGACGTGTCACTGTTGGGGGTTCTGTCCACCCCCGAATAGGATCACTCGAGGGTGCCCTCCCCCAGGATGCACGAGATCATCCAACAAGCACGAAGAACATTAGAGGTACCCTCCCCGAACCGACCTCGATCTTATACCTCAATCCGACCGTGCGTCAAACTGCCGCCAATGGCGGCCGACTCCAGGGGGTCCCGCCTCGCGGCTGTGATGAGGGGAAGAAACAATGACGTATGCATAAGAACTCGGAGATCCCCGCGGATTCCTTGGATCGGCGCTGGAGCCCCCTGGCGGCGCCTCCAGCGCCGATCCGAGAAAATCCGCGTGGACCTCAGAGTTCTTATGTCTATGTCATCGTTTTGTCCCCTAGCGGTCCAGGGGAAGCCTGGACCAGATCGCGCTGGAGCCTGCCAGAAGCTATCTGAAGCCAGCTCAATCCCAGGGGTCCTACGGGCCGCTCCCAAGTTTCAGATTATGGCGGCGCGGAGGCAGGTTACAAACTTCAAGCTCGCATCTCAGTTTTAAGCACCCAGCTGACAAACATTCAAAACAATTGAAATCTGCTCTATTCGGTGGGGGCGTGTCCCTAGCCGCTGCAAGGACTACTTTAACGACAGGGACTTGGATGATGGGTCCCTTTTGCAATGGGCTTGCTGCTCTTCTAGTTACATCGCATTTCCTCAACACCATTCGTCCGAGGCACGTGGTCGAACCAACATGAAGCCGAATTGAACGCAACCGCGAACAAAGAAAACGCAAGGTGCCCGCACACAGGCCATCCTTCACACGTGCGTGCACGATGACACGCGCTCTCCCTACTACCATGCGGTCTGCAACTATATCGCATCAAATCTCACCCCCTTTCTTCTTCAAACGTTCCTCCCGTTTGCATGTTCGCATATCGGTGTTTCACTCCGAATGTGCAACACATACAATTGCACATCTGTGCGTCGGATCACGGTACGTGTTGTCATGGTCATGTTCAAAACACGTTCAAGCACATGCCCCATTTCCCGCTCCTCTTCCCCAGGAGCCCCAGGACTTGCACATCAGATGTAGTCCGGGGGGGGGGGGGGGCAGATGCTCATATTCGTTGGGCCGCGCTGTCCATTCTGGCGTTGTTGTCGATGCTGCACCCGCTGGTCCGCTCATAGTCTTCCTCGAAGTGCTTGCACGTGCCGCTGCTGTAAGGCTCTGGCACGATCTTCCACTCCGACCACGGGTTCACGAACGTGTACAGGACGGTGTCGTAATGGCTGCCGGCGGAGCACCTGCGAAGATCAACACTGGGCTTTTATGAAAGACACAACCATGTTAGCCAGCGTGGACCCAACACCGTGTATTTCTAGCAGTTTGTGTTGTGCGACCGATGTTGCACACCTTGTGGTGTGCACTAGATGTGGTGCCGCCTATGATGCAAGATAGGTCGTGCAATCTATGTGGTGCCAACTAGGTGGTGTCGTGTATGCGGTGCAATCTGGGTGGTGCAATCTATATGGTGCAGTCGGCGTTATGCAACCTATATGGCGCAATAGATGATGGACACCTTATGTGGTGCAGTCTATGTCGTACAACCTAGGTGGCCCAAAAGATGTGATGCATGACATGTGGTAAAATCCATTTAGTACAGTCTACGTGGTGAAGCGTATCCTGTGCAACCTATATATACATGGTGCAGTTCATTTGGCGCAATCTACGTGGTGCAAAATCTGACCTGTAATATATGTGGTGTAATCGATGTGGTGCCATCGATGTGGTGAGTCTCTGTGGTGCAGTCTGTTAGGTGCAACCTTTGCGGCGCAATTGATTTTTACAGACGGGTTGGCAAAGCCCATGCTCTTGCAAACATCCCACAAACCCACCCGCAACTAGGTTTGCAAACCCATGCGGCGGCGATTGCGATGAGTGCTTGGCGATGGCTGGTGCATCTCTGCAGCCGCGCCAGCCTGTTTATGCACGCGCGCTAGCTTGGCGCGACCGGCGCGCCGCAATGGCGCTGACCGCTGGGCACATCCCAGCGGGCACTTCAGTGCGAGTCGGCGCCTTGGGCGGGCGCGGTATCATGGCAAGGCCGACAACGGTAGACACGAGGAGCGACGACGGCACGGCCAGTGACGGCGCCGATGCTCATCACGCCGACGACGATGACGGCGTCCTCGCGCGTTGGTGACGAAGGTTTTGGAAAGAGTTCGACATGTGCGTGCGGCCGACGCGCGAGAGTAGCCGCATGGTATTTTTTAGACTCGGATCGTGCCCCCCCCCCAGGACGCGCGCAAGGGCGTTCGAATGATTTCGGCATGCGGCGGGAGAGGCCCGCCTGGAAGAATTCCATGAACATGTTGAAACAAACCTATGGCTTCCCCAAGAATTCGCAAGAGCGCGAGCGCAAGCTTTTTGAAAACATATGATACGAAACAATGTGTTTTTTTATGGCTTCGGGACTGTCGGTTTTGAAAACTTTGTGGAACCAAAGGTTTAAGTTGATTTCGACATGAGCGCGCGACGACGCGCGCGCACGCACTTCGTCACATTTCTTTGCAAAGGATTCTCGCGACAGCACACGCGCAAGGGCGTTCGAACGATTCCGACATGCGCGCACGACGTTTGGTAGCATTCTAGGATAATGTTAAACAACCTTTGGTTGCCTTACAATTTCGCAAAAAACGCGCGCGCAAATGATGTTTGGACATCCGTGTTGAGAAACCAAGTGTAAACAAACATAGAATGTTGAAACGCTCGATTCTGAAATTCTTACGATGCTGCATTGTTTGAAGGCCTTTGCGCGCGACGACGCGCGTATGCATTTCGTCATGTTTTTTGGCTGTAAGTGATTATTGAAAACTGGTGTTTTTGATAAACGAGTGTGCGCGCACAATTTTTGGGGCAGATAATGACGGGGGGTGAATACAGGCCTGCCTGGGATAGTACGAACTCATCTTTAGGATGGACGACTGAGCAGAGTCAAACATACATCGCAATACGAAAAGGAATACGCATAATCCCGGGGGGGTAACATCGAATTGTTGAAAGCAAACAAAATCTACGTGGTGCAGTGCAGGCGGCGACTGGGCGGCGACGGCGACAACATAACCGCCAGACCGACAATCAGGACTGGACGACGGCTGCGACGAGGCGGCGACGGGGTGGCGACGGCGACAACATAGCCATTCGACCGAAAACCAAACCCAGACTGCAGTCGGCCACGAGGCGGCAAAGGGGCGGCGACGGCGACAACGCAGCCGCCAGACCGACAACCAGGCCAAGACTGCGGGCGGGCGACGACGAGGCGGCGAAGGGGCGCCGACTGCGACACCATAGCAGCTAGACCGGCAATCCTCATAACGGGCGGCGACGGAGCGACGACGAGCGGCAACGGCGACAACGTAGCCGCCAGACCGGCAACCAGGCCAAGGCGACGGGCGGCGACGAGGCGGCGACGACGGGGTGGCGACGGCGACAACATAGCAGCCAGAGCGACATCCACGCCCAGGCAACGGGCGGCGACGAGGCGACGACGGGGCGGCGACGGCGACAGCATAGCCGCCACACCGACAACCGGGCCCGAGCAAGGCACGCGTCGTGAGCGAGCCCCGACGGGGGGAAGAGGGGTGCACTCTCCGAACTCTGGCGGCCCCATGTAGCGCCCTGGAGGCCTGCAAGGGCCCTCAAGCGACCCGTTTACGGGCCCTGAAGGGCATCTTTTCTGCAGCCCTCGCCGCCCCCTCACTTATCGCCCCCCCATAACGCGACGCCCAACCTGGAGATCTGGTCCCCTTCCCTGGGGCTGGCGTTTCGTCCCGAGTCGTTTGCGGTCCTGGGGCCTGGCGAGGGTTCCCAGAGGCCGAAAATTGCCACAAACCAGCCGCAGTGATTCTTCCCACAACGAGAGTGGGCGCGCACGAGCCACGCCGGCCCAATCGTGGGCAATCTTGGGGTCGTTGGACCGCGGCCATGGCCCAGGCGGTCAACGGAACGCGGCAGCAATCAAAACGGTTCGCGCTTCGCTTGCGCGTCATATCCTCGCGGTTCTTGACGGCTGCGTCGCGGGGCTGCGCGCAATCACGATGAGATACGGCAGGCACGTGTCGTGACGACCCTGGCTTTGATTTCTGACTCCGCGTGGATCGTGCCATCTTGATCGGTTAGCGGTTTTTTGATGGCCAGATCGTTTCATATTGGCAATTGGTGGGCCACAGCAACGCTCAAACTTGAACGCCCGCGGCAAGCTCGCATCCGCGTCGGCACGGCACGAACCTACCGTAGCCAAGATGGCACCGAAACGTTCGGAGTCTTTCAAGGTCGCGGCCGAATGGATTGAACACCGTGGCAGCGGGGAACGGTGGAGAGCGGCCGCGGAGGAGGGCAAAGGACACGGGCACCAAGACGGCATCGAAACGCACAGGCAAGTGCAACACCGTGTGCGCTGGTGCCCGAGCTTTCCCCTGCATCGTGCGTGGATGGTAAGCACTACCATGCGATGAAACCCGCATCGGAGGAGGAGGAGGAGGGGGAGGAGAGGGAGGAGGACGAGGGGGAGGAGGAGGGAGAGAAGGGGGAGGGAGAAGAGGGGGAGGAGGAGGGGGAGGGAGACGATGGGGAGGAGGAGGAGGAGGAGGAGGAGCAGGAGGATGAGAGCGGTCGCGAAGCGAGTAAAATACATCTCGAACCCGGACCGCCTCCGAGAAGACGAGGAGCCAGTAGACCAGCACCACGAACTCAAAGGAAAGCCAGGACATGACAACAAAGACCCAGCCGTTGCAACTCCAGGAACCACTCGACGACGTCGGTGAGCAGGAGCCGTATAGCAGAAGCTACCTCGAAGTCCATGCTGAACTTCACATCGCAATGTGAAAAGGAAGGATTCCGCATCGTACCTTCAGCTGTTTCATTGCCGCTTGCATTGCTGATCGGATGCTGGAGCGGTAGCGGCCGAACTTGATGAAGCAGGCGGCCCGAAAATGGGCGGAGGCGCAGGTTGCGGCTCGAGCGGAGGAATGGTCGCCCAATCCTGTGCTGCAGCAGCTGCGAAGCTGTCGGCAGTCTCTGGGGTGCCGACAGCGAGCTCCACCAGGTCTTCGTGCGCCTCCTCCAAGGGGTAATCCTCGCCAGGCGCGAGCCGCTCTCGGGGAAGGTATTCCATCTCATCCCTTCGGCTACCCAGTGCGAGGTTGTCCAGCTCCGAGCACGCTTCCTCGAAGTCGAAAGGACCGATAAGCACAGACTGATTGTGGAGGTATGCCCGCATCTCCGCACGACGGCCACCCACCGCGAAGTCCGCCATATCCCTGCAGAGCTCCTTGCGTGGGTTCCACGGTTCATCCTCCGAGTGCCCCCCCGCCTCGTTCTCCGCGCCGTCCTCGAACCCTGGCACGACAGCGTCGGCGCAGACCGCGTCCGCGGCGCCGTCGACGACGACCTCTGCCAGCCGCACCTCCCGCGCCTCCGAGGGCGGAGCGGGGGTCTCCCGTGCTGCTGAGCCAGAAAGTGCTCCCCATGCGGCGGTGGGAGACTGCAGAACAATAGCTGACTTTGTCGGGAGCTCGATCCAACGGCAGGAATACAACACACAGCCGCACGTGCAAATGCTCCCGACTACGGAGACGGGGGCGCGCGGGGCGAACTCGGGGGCCTCGCCTCAGCACGCGCACGGGCGGCCTGGCGGGAAGGGGGGCGCCTCCTCTCCTCCAGCCTGGGCCCGTGCTGCGCCCGACGGAGTTGGGTGGCCGAGGCGTGCTCCACATCGATGTCCTCCGCGTCGGCGTGCAGCGCGACGTTGCGGCGGATCACGTCGAGCCACTGGGGCTCCTCGCCGCGGACCTGGGCCACGACAACAGGCACGACCGCCCTGAGCCGAGCCCCAACCTCCGAGTTCCCCACGATGAGCGCGAGCGACTCCTCAGCCAGCTGCGCCTCCGCGGCGACCTTGTCCACCTTGCCGGAGAGTAGCCGAACGAAACGGTCAGCAGAAACACGAGCTCGCGACCTCCATGAAGCACGTGATGATGAAAGGGCGTCACTGGCTGGGGCGCCTCCCGCAACCACCTCCACGTCGGAGACCTCCCCGCTTCTCACACCGCGAAACATGGTGCCTTGCGAGCTTGAACAATAGGGCTGTCATCCGCTGGTGGATGGCAGGAGCCAAGATGGCTACGGACAGGAGGAGGAGGAGGAGGAGGATAAGGAGGAGGAGGAGGAGGAGAAGGAGGAGGAGGGGGAGGAGGAGGAGGAGGGGGAGGAGGGAGAGGAGGAGGAGGAGGGGGAGGAAGAGGAGGAGGGGGTAGGAGGAGGAGGAGGAGGAGGAGGGGAGGAGGAGGAGGAGGAGGAGGAGGAGGAGGAGGAGGAGGAGGAGGAGGAGGAGGAGGAGGAGGAGGAGGAGGAGGAGGGGGAGGGGGACGAAGGGGATGAGGAGCAGGAGGAGGAGGAGGAGGAGGAGGAGGGGGAGGAGGAGGAGGAGGAGGAGGAGGACAGGAACGATCTGAACAAAACTTACTTCTCACCCTGGGCCGCTGGCCGCTGCCCGGCGGCCTCGACGGCGACGACGACGCACCGGGCATAGCTCAGAGTCGTCCACTTCCGAGTGCCCCCGAGCATGTCTGAATCGCTTGGCCGCACTGCTGGGCGTATGTTTAAGTCGGGCGTGCCCCCCTACAGGCGGATTTTGGACGATCAAAGAAATAGACGAGACATGGTTTAAAATAGCAAAAACAATAATCACAAACCCGTCCCCAGACTATTTTTGAATATTCCTCCTGTAGAGGGGCAGGCCCGACTTAAGCTTGTGTTGCTCCCATCGTGCTTAATGACCACATCCCAGGAACGATGTCGAGCACCCAGAGAAGTGTCGAACAAATGTCGAACGAGCATCGCCTCCGAGGGCCCGACACGTGAAAACCTTCCAGTTTCGGTACTCGATTGGTGCTCGAAATTCTTTGTGGTGGTCAAGGCTAAAATAGGTTGGAACATCATGATGCTAGACAACCAAGCGTGAACCCCACCCCTGTGGGAAAGACTTCGGAAAAACCGGCGGGGGGTCCGAATTCGGAGGATGATCTGCGGCCAAATGAACTTCAGCGGGATGCCCGATACCCCATGTCGGTAGGACCCGCAGAGGTAGGGCTCGCAAAGAGTCGCATAATTGCTTCAACTGAGCTTTCGTGATGGGCAACGATAGGGGGGGACTGGCATAAAGGGAGATGCATCGACCTGGAATCGGCGATACATCGCCGATAGGTCGGCGATAGGCCTCCGATCGTGAATCCGCACCTTCATGGGCGGGTTGGGGCCATCGAGCCCCTATCGGCGATCAATGGGCGATTGGGGGTCGATGCATCCCCCCTAAGCCTATCCAACTATCGTTGCCCCTGATTTCGCGCCTGAGGCCAGAATCGAAGGTCACCGGCTCGAACATGACGTCCATGTCGTCGACCTCGAAGCTCAACTCGGGCTCTCGTGGCGCCGCTTCTTGCTTGTCGCCCGCGGGTCCGCTAGCCGTGGCAGGCGCAGGCAACTGCCCAAGAGCCGCCCACTTGCCTTAAGTCGGGCCTGTCCAAAAAGTCACAAAATAGTCTGAGGACGATTTTCAGAATATGTTGAAAAGCTACTGTTTGAATATTTTTTGATTTGTTCTCCTGAATCCGCCTGTAGGGGGACATGCCCTACCTAACACTTGCCCCCCGCAGAACTTCGACGTCGTGATTTTGTTCGCAGCGCAGACCCCATGGGACGAGGAACACAAATTTCTCAATACATATATATGTATATATATATATGTATATTCGTCTTCAGACTATGTTCTGACTATGTTTGGATACTCTTTGAACAATTGCGCAAAACAACTGAAACATATGCAAATCTGGCTATTTTTGAATATTCTCCAAAATTGAATAATCAAAACATGCGCAACACATGCCTACACATACTCGAAACATCTTCCCCATGTTATAATTATTGTTTTAACTATGTTTGCATATTCCTCCTGTAGAGGGACAGGTCCGACTGAACGCTCCCCGCTGCGACACAACATCGCGACGCGAAAGGGGGGATAGCAAAGGGGTGTTGAGAATCAGCTCACGTAGCTGATTTTCCCGGCGCCTCCCGGCGCCGGAGGCGGCCATTTATCGAGGAATGGGCCCCTCGGTGGGGGTGAAACCAGCGGCATGCAGCAGATTTCGTAACCCCCCCTTTCCATATCATCCCCTTTCGTCTGGCCCGAAAGGATGGGGGGCAAGGGCCCCCCCACCGCTTCCCGTTGCAACACATCGCCGCGACGGGAAAAATGTGCGGCCGCTTTTTCGCCCTCCGGCGGGGCCCTCGCCGCCGGGCCCCGGGGGACCGTCATGAGACCGCTCGGGCTGAAGAGCTGGTCCAGGGGCAGGGATCCCGATCTCCAGGAGTCCTCGCTGTCCGTTGCGCCAGCCTTGCAGACGAGCTGCAGCGAATTTCTGCGTGGATCTCTGCCCGAAGCGGCGAGCGAAGATCGAAGTGAGAAGCCGGTCCATGGGCAGGGGTCCCAGATTCAGGTCAGGCATGTCCCCCTACAGGCGGGATTTGGGACGAAACTTTTTAAGAATACCCCAACAATGCTCAAACATGGTCCAAAACATCGTGCCCAGACTATTGTTGGATTGTTTTTGAAGATTCCCCCCGTGGAGGGGCAGTCCCGACTGAGGTTCGGGGGCAGGGATCCAGATCTCCAGGAGTCCTCGCTGTGGCAGCATCATGGCGTCGGAGCTCTGGGCAGAAGGATCACTGCACCGACCTCGCAGACGTGCTGCAGCGGACTTGTGTGTGGATTTCTGCACATGCAAAGCCGCGAAACGGCGAGCGAAAAACGAAATGGATTTCGCGTGGCTTATAATCCGTCTACATTCCTGGCCCCAAAAACAAACACCTGCACGAAATTCACCTCGAAATCCAGAACGACATCCTCCAGGACACCCCAGGCCCACCCTATCGTTTTCCGAACGAAATCCGCTCTGCGATGTTGGCGCCATGACGCTGTGAAGGCGTCGTCGTCGTCATCTCCCCCCTCTCCCTCCTCCCCCCCCTCCTCCTCCTCCTCCTCCTCCTTCTCCTCTTCCTCCTCCCTCCTCCTCCTCTTCCTCCTCCTGCTCCTTCTCCTCCTTCTCCTCCTCCTCCTCCTCCTCCTCCCTCCTCCCTCCTCCTCCTCCTCTTCCTCCTCCTCCTCCTCCTCCTCCTCCTCCTTCTCCCTCCTCCCCCTCCTCCTATGGCGTCGGAGCTATGGGCAGAATGAGGAACGGCGTTGTGCTCAGCAGTCCCTCGCGGCAGACGCGGGCAGGCAAAGGGCCAAGCTTGAAAACGTGCCGCTCGCTTCATCCCGGGGGAGCAGCGCCACCTCACCCTGCTGTTAGGTCGGGCGTGTCCTCCTACAGGCGGATTTTGGCCGAACATTGAAATGCTCAAACAATGCTCAAACATACTAGTCAAGTCGTCACCTCACTATTGTTTAACTAGTTTTGAACATTCCTCCTGTAGAGGGACAGGCCCGACTTAACCCTGCTAGTTGCGAGCTGGGCCTGCAACGAACAACTTGCCCATGGCCCAGGCACAAGACTCGCGGGCATCGGTGCAAGACCTGCACCTCGCGCATCAGTTCAGAGATGCTCGTGCGCTCTGCACTCGCAGTGCCGACGCAAGGTGCTACACATGAACTGGCCTGACCAAAGATGACCCATTTCTGTAGGAGCAACGTGTGGAATACATGGGAACCCCTGATGTCAAGCGATATGGCAATCTGCCCCTGATATTATGGAGCAACAGTGCTGAACACCGCCGGGCCTTCCTGGCTGAAGCATGCACCTTGTGGAAAACATGGAGCCACTTCAACAACATAGCAAAAGAGAACCTACCTGGCAAGAGGTCGTCCACGTCTGCGACGATGTCGGCGCTCCTCTGGCGACAGGAATGAATGTGACAAACTGCAATCACATGGGCGACTGGGGAGCGTCTGGAGGGCCTCTCAAAGGGCGGCCCCTGCTCCTCCAATCATGCCCGCCACATAGCGAGTGAATTCCATCCCCGGGATGCGGGGAGCGATGGCTGGAGATGGGATTAACTATTTGTTTCGGGCGCTCACCGAGACCGTGGCAAACGTGCCTCCTGAAATATGCCAACCTCCCACGCCGTTCGCTTCATGTTTTCATGGCCACCTGTCAAGTGAGCTTCAGCACCCATCTAATGGTTGCCTTGTCTTCTTACAGTCTGGAGACGCTACAACTTGCAGAACTGGATTCTAGCGTGGCGCGTCGAAGTACGTGCAGGACCTGACGCAAACAGAGACATGTACATAAAGAGTCGTACTAAACTGACAAGGATAAAAAGGGTCACGATAACACACCTAAATGCCACTTTCGACTTGGAATGCAAGCCAAAGCCACGGTGACGGCAAACAAAGGGAAAGAAACGACAGACGAAACTTCTGCGCACCTGCGGCCAACATTTACTACTCTGCCGATCGGACATAACGATGCGTGGACGCATACGGGCGCCGAAACCGACCGTGAGTTGGCAGGAAACGAATAAGTCGGGCACGAGTAAACCAAGATCCACCCCAAACCAATCAACTCAAAGGACCCCCCCCGGCGCCGCCCGAATTTGGCGACCGATTCTGAACGGAAGCGAACTTTGTCGCTACTCCGCGCGACTTCCCAGAATCCCGTCTTCGTGTTTCTTGAACAGCATGGACCCCAATGGTCTAGACACGTCCCCGAGAGCGGTGTTTCATCCCTAGCCGATTTCTGACGGTCAGGCGAGGGTCCACGGAAGCCGAGCGCAGCCAAAAATACGCCCGTCGTGCTTTTTCCGCGCCGAGGGGAAGTGGGGGTGCAGTGCGGGCGCGGCCGCCAGAAACCCTCGCAAGGATCCCCGCCCTGAACACCCGCGGGGGAGACGCACCTTGGGAGGGAAACCCAAAGCATCCTGAACGCAGCCACTTCTTTGACGGCCGGGAAAAGCTACCACGCAGCGCGCGGAGCGAAGACTCCCAGTCCCTACTGTAGCTTCGTGATGGTCAGCACCCGTCGGTCGGAAAGAATGGGTAGGAAGGCGTTGAAAGTAGATTGGGCGCCCGCCCGCTCCCCCGAAGAGGAGGGAAGAGGAACAGCAAATCTCGGCCCTCAAAGTTGGAGAGCGCCTAACATGTATTGGGATCTGTGGGGGTCAATCACATACCTACTTTCAACGATCGGCGGGTAGGGGTAGCTTCTTGACGGTTCAGAAGCAGGGAGAGGAGCAGGGATGAGGATGAGGAGGAGGAGGAGGAGGAGGAGGAGGAGGAGGAGGAGGAGGAGGGAGGACGGAGGAGGGAGAAGGAGGGGGGAGTAGGAGGTGGAGAAGGAGGAGGAGGAGGACGGGGAAGAGGGAGGAGGAGAAGGAAGGAGAAGTAAGGGGAGGAGGAATGAGGAGGAGGAGGAATGAGGAGGAGCAGGGAGGAGGATAAGGAGGAGGAGGAGAAGGAGGAGGAGAGGGAGGAGGAGGACTGAGGAGGAAGATGGAGACGAGGACGAGGAGAGGGAGGAGGATTGAGAATTGAGGAGGAGGAGGAGGAGGAGGATCGAGGAGGAGGAGGAGGAGGAAGAGACGGATGATGATGATGAGGAGGGATGAGGATGATGATGAAAAGGAGAAGAAGGAGGATGAGGAGAATGAGGATGAGGAGGGGAAAGAGGATGAGGAGGAGGATCGAGGAGGAGGAGGAGAACTAGGAGGGCGGAGGAGGAGAAGGATCAGGAGGAGGAGAAGTGGGAGGAGGAGAAGAATGGGGAGAAGAAGGAGGAGGAGGAGAAGGAGGAGGAGGAGAAGGAGGAGAAGAATGATGATGATGATGAGGAGGAGGAAGAGGAGGAGAAATGAGGATGAGGATGCGGAGGATGCGGATGATGCGGAAGATGCGGAGGAGGAGGATGAGGAGACGGAGGAGGCGGAGGAGGAGGCGGAGGCGGAGGAGGATGAGGAGAAGGAGGAGGAGGAGGAGGAGGAGTATGAGCAGGAGGATGAGGAGGAGGAGGAGGGGTGAGGATCGAGGACTGAGAGGAAACGGAGGAGAAGGAGGAGGAGGAAGAGGAGAGGAGGAGGAGGAGAGGAAGGGGAGGTTTGAGGAGGAGGAGAGGAGGAGGAGGAGAAGGAGGAAGAAGAGGAGGAGGAGGATTGAGGATGAGGAGGTGGGGATGGGGAGGAGGAGGAGGGAAGGAGGAGGATGATGATGGAGGAGGAGAGAGGAGATGAGGAGAGGGAGGAATAAGGATGAAGATGAGGATGATGATGATGATGCTGATGATGATGAGGAGGAGGAGGAGGAGGGAGGAGGAGGGGAGGGAGGAGGAGGGTGAGGAGGATTGAGGACTGCGGAGGAGGGAGGAGGAGGAGGAAGGAGGGAGATCGGAAGACGAGTAGGAAGAAGAGGAGGAGGAGGAGAAGGAGGAGGGGGGGGAGGAGGAGGAGGAGGAGGAGGAGGAGGAGGAGGAGGAGGAGGAGAGGAGGAGGAGGAGGAGGAGGAGGAGGAAGAGAAAGGAGGGGGAGGGGAGGAAGAGGAGGTTGAGGAGGAGGGGGAGCAGAGAGGAAGAGATAGAGAGGGAGAGGAACTATTGGGAAGGATGACGATGAGAAGGAGAGAGGAGGAGAGAGGGGAGATAAGGAGAGAGGAGGATAAAGCGAGGAGCAGAGAGGCGGAGGCGAGAAGGAGAGAAGAGCAGGCGAGGAGGGCAGCGCTCCAAGGCGAGCGCTCGCCGCCCTCCCACCAGGTCATCTCCGCGTGCAGTTCGTCCAGCACCTCGAGAGCAGGGCGGCCGATGCGCATAGACCAGGCACTCGAGCCTGCTCGAGGAGTGCTGAGCTTCAATGTCCATCGAGGGCTCGGCCGAAGACCCTTCCCCTCCTCCTCCGTGTTCGCCTCCTCCCTCGGCCGCTGATGATTTTCGCGGGTGCTTCTCCTCCTTCTCGTCCTCCTCAACCCCCCTCGGCCGTTGAGAGTTTTCGCGTGTCCTCCTCCTCTTCCTCATCCTCCTCCTCCTCCTCCTCCTCCTCCTCCTCCTCCGCTTCTTCTTTCGCCTGTTGAGCGGTAATCGGGTTCTCCTCTCCTTCTCCTCCTGCTCCTACTCATCCTCTTTTCCGCCTCCGCCCCCTCCTCCTCCCCCTCCTCCTCCTCCTCCTCCTCCTCCTCCTCCTTCTTGGGGCCTCCCTCATCCGTTGTGCAATTTCTCGGGTCCTTCTGCTCCTCCTCCTCCTCCTCCTCCTTCTCCTTCTCAACCTCCCTGAGCCGTTGTAAGTTTTCGCCGGTCTGCCCCGTCCTCCTGATAGTTGGGCATCGGACAGGCCTTCGGCATCGGACAAACCTTGGGACCACTGATAGCTCCTTCGAGGGGCGCACAGGCGATGTAAGAGGTCCCATGTCCAAGCCAACTGGAGCTCATACTTCGAGGCTTCGGGCTCCCAGGCAATTCCCCAACATGTGCTGTCTACTGCGGGGCGGGGATAGATCTATGACCGCCGCCTGGGGGATCATCCCTCGGGCTATGTTGCTCCCATCGTACTTAAAGACCACATCCCAAAAATAACTTCGAGCACCCGGAACAGTGTCGAAACAGTGTCGAAATAATGTCCTAACAATGTCGAACGAGTGTGTCCCAGGGCCCGACACGTGAGAACCCTCGAGTTTCGGTGCATTCTCGGTGCTCGACATTTTTCTGGTGATCAAGGCTGAAGTAGGTTGGAACATCATAAAACATACGGCAGGTTCGTGTCGTGCCGACTTCGGCGTTGGTCTCTAACACCGCGGGGATCTTTCAACCTTTTAACGATCGGCCGTTTCCGAAGCATCAGATCGTTCAACATCGACAGATTATGGGTCGCCGGCGGCGTTCGACGTTGAACGACAGCGGCGGGGTCGCCACTGGTCGACACGATGTCGAACATAGGTTAGAACATCACAACCCCCGAAGACTTTTTGTTGGTTGCGCGCTTGCGCCCGAGGCGCGCCCGCGCAGGCAAGCAGGTAGGCGCCCTCGCGCCCGCCGCGGAAGAGCAGCGAGGGCACGGGAGCACGGCTGGACGGGAACGTTGGTTTTCGTCCAAGGCCGCGCTAACGTTAGGTCGGGCCTGTCCCCCTACAGGGCGATTTTGGACGATGAATGAAAAATCTACAAAACATACTCCCCCAAATGATCAACAATGGTAGGAACATCGTCCCCAGACTATCTTTTTGCTATTTGGGATATCTCCTGTAGAGGGAGGCCCGACTTAACGCTAACGGCGATGTTGGTGAATGGCGATGTTGGGAATCTGGTGTTTGTGACACCGAGCTCGCGCAGAACAACTTGTAGGAAGTCGCGATACACACTGTCCTACACTTCAAATGTGCGAATGTATCGAGCGAAAACGACGCGAGGAGTTGGACGAAAACACAAACCACCCTGTCCTACACTTGGTTTGGCCATGAACCAGTCCCACCTGCAATGCAGAAACCAACATCGCCGCTACCTACATTGCCGTTAGCGCGTCTACGGTTCGTCTTGTTTCCGTTTTGTTTTTCGTTTTGCTCCACCTGTTTTCCTGCACCTCCCTGCCAGAACGAAGAACAAAACACAACCGACATCCAACAGAACTTGTTGGACGCCCAGAATGGGTACGGAAAAGATGGGTACAATGTTCAACAACAAATGTTGTCCCAAAGCACCAGCGGTCGTTGTTGGGCAAGCGGCCTTCTGCCTCAACCGGACACAGGCCGCGGCGTCGCGGACAGCGAGTCCTGTTTGAAATGAACAAGAACTGCCTGTTGGGCACTGTACCCGTTCTTTCTGTACCCATCTCGCTCGTGCCGAAAAACAACGCAGTCCAGCCCTGCACAGCTGGGGCCGGTCCGGATCGGCCAGGACGCACAGGGCCACCCAAACGGAGGCCTCTTTCGGGTGACCCAAAAGGGGGTCCAGCTGAAAGGGGGTGGTGCAAATGTACTGCGCCGGAGAATTGTATTGCAAATATAATACGCCGGAGAATTGTATTGCAAATGTATTGCGCTGGAGAAAGGGTGACTTCGGGCATTGTATTGCACATGCACTGCGCCGGAGAATTGTATTGCATTGTACTGCAAGTGACGTATTGCACGCGACAATCCAGCTACACAATTGCGCCCCGATGTGCATTGCACGCCCCACTGCAGCCCCGCAACTCTGGTTAGTGCACCAGATGTATTGCACCACCCCCTTTCAGCTGGACCCCCTGTTTGGGTCAACCCGAGCCTCTCCTCCTCCTCCTCCGAGCTCCGCCCCCGCGTGGGAGGCCTTGACAAAAGCGAGCAAACGCGCAAGCGCGGCCGCCGCGCCCCTCGGCGCAGCCGGCCCGCTATCGGCGAGGGCCGCCTCCGGGCGGGCCTCTGCTCCGCGAGCGAGAGGCCAGGCCCTCGGAGCGCTCCTGCGCCGATCCGCTCCCCCCGGGGGGGCTCCCTCCTCGCCAGCCCCTCGTGTATGTGCGGAGCTGGCCCCCCTCCAGCTCCTCCGGGAGCGGCATGTGCTTGCTCTGGCGCCCTGGCCTGAGCAAGCAACTGCTATGTAGCACGGGATTTTGCCGAATTCGCTATGGCCCGGCAGCATGTATTCTCTGTAGCTTTCTAGACGAGCGCGTCCCACTACTCGCAAAACAACTACTCGCAAATGGCCTGGATCCCCCGCGGGGGATCCGCGATAAAATTCAAATAAGCAGACATGCGTTTTTTCGGACGTTTGCGAGTAGGCACTATGCGAGTAGTGGAACGCGCTCGGTGACTTTCGGAGACGTGGCGCCCCCGCGGACGCCCACTGCGGCTGCGGCCACTGCGGCATCGCGCAGGCATGCCGCCGGCCGCTTGGGCACCCCCTCCAGCTTACACCAGGAGGGCGGCCAGCACCGGGGCCGCCTTCACGACGGGGTACGAGGGGTCCATCTGGATGCCGCACTCCCCCTCCTTTCGGGGGGAGCGAAAGGGGGGGATAGCAAAGGGTAGGGTAGAGAATCAGCTCACAAAGCTGACTTTCCCGGCGCCTCCCAGCGCCGGGAGGTGCTCATGCATCGAGGAAGGGGCCTGGCGGCGGGGCCGAAACCAGCTGCATGCAGCAGATTTCATAACCCCCCCTTTCCCTATCCCCCCCTTTCGCTCGGCCCGATCCTTCGCGGAACCGCCACGCAAGATCTTCAGGTAGCCGTTGATGCCCCACTGGGGCCCCCAACTGTTCTTGACCAGCCAGTAGTCCTTCCCGCCCTCCGTGCCATAGCCCACCGCGAGCACTCCGTGGTCGAGCTTGGTCCCGCAGTTTCCAGTGAGCACGCCGCTGCGGTACAGCTGGAACACCATTTTGTCAGCCTCGATGGCGATGCTCACTGGCTGCTGTGCCACCGCACTCATCAGCGAAGCGGTGTCCAAGGTCTTGACGTCCTTGAATCCGACAACGCTGCCCTTCGGCAGGCCAACGTCGCAATTGGTGGCCTGGCAGATGCCGTTCTTGGCCTTGTACTTGTAGGAGTCCTCCGTGCAAAAGCCAGCGCTCTCCGCGTACTGGAAGCCACCGTCCATGCTGCCCCCTCCGCAGCCATTCTCCCCGAACTTCTTCGAACAATCAACGAGCTGCTGCTCGCTCAAGGACACGAGCTTGCCGCTAGCGATGGCCAGCGCGCCCTCGAGGGCCCCCGTGGTGGAGAACGCCCAGCAGGAACCTCGGGAGCGGCCAAGAGGGGGGTGTCCAAGAGGGGGGGGTGCAAATCATGACCGGCGGCATGTGCGCGGCCCAGCGGGGGGGCCAGGGACGTAATGAAATAAGAAGAGGCGCCATGAAATCTGGGGAAATATCATGGCCCACGCCATGATATCCACCCCCCCCTAGTCATCACCCCCCTTTTTTCCGCCCCCGAGAACCGCACTGACCTTGGTTCTTTGCCGGGGTCACGGCGCCCTTCTGGGTCCAGTCGACGGAGTCAGGGAGCGTCTCGTTGCCAACCTCGTGGCTGCCCAGGTACGGAAGCCCACCCCAAGGCTTCTTCGATGGCCTGTACCCCGCGTAGCTCATCACAAACTCCTCGCTCGTCATGTCCGCGAAGTGGTTGAGGCCCACCGTGTAGCTGAGGCCCTTCCTGTTCTCGCTCTCGATGAACTCGAGATTGTCCGCGAACGCCTCGAGACGCGCCTTGTGCTCCATAGCCTCGTACTCCTTGGAAAACTGGGCCTTGAACTGTCCGAAGAGCGTCTCCACTTCAGACAGGGGGCGGCGTGCCTGAGAAAGCGTAAGCAATGATGCCGAGGCGGCCGCAACGCGCATCATGTTTCCCGAACGGCTTGGTCGGACGTGCCAGGGCAGAATGCTGGATCGAGCCTGTAGTAGCCTTGAGCCAAAATGGCTACGGAATCAACCTTCGGGAACCTTGGCAGGCGGTGGATATGGATAAGTATGAATATTCGGGCCCTGGGGGGAGGGGGAATGGGGGAGGACGCTGAACTCTCATCCACACCCGCTGCATCTCGGGCTCCTGAGCAAAAACGTCCGGAAATCCGAGACGCAGTGGCTACGAAGACACATGTTGTGCGGGAGCTGACAGAGGGCAAAACATCCCCCCCATAATAACCACCCCGACACGCGAAGCCGTTTACTAAACGCCCCCACTGAAGGAATCGATCAGGGCAGGGCTGTTTAGTAAACGCCCAAGACCTCCATTTAGTAAACCACCCTTCAGTGACAACGGCCTGGGACCGAAACCGACGGACCTGGACCCGCCAAAATGCCGGCTGCGACGCCCTTTCGCGATACGAAAACGGCCAATTCATTAATCGACCTGTCAGGGCAGGAAGTCTATCAACCTCCGAATTTAGTAAACGCCACTTGTCCAGTCTGGGTGGTTTTTCCTCCCCTGAGCTGAGGCCGACACCTCTGTCAACTTGGACCACTCCAACATTACCTTCCGGTTCCGGGCGTGCATCTCCTGCGGGTCTGCACCCTGCGGCCAGTCCAGCATGTGCAGCGAGTCCGCGATGTCGCCCCCTCGGGAGACTTGGGGCCCACCAAAGGGGGGGGGGACCCTGAGGGGGGGTGTGAGCTCGATCCGCTGGTGCATCGAACTTCGGGAAAACGATGCCCCCCGCGCGCCCCGATTGTCGACGCCGCTCAGGTTTCTGGCGGCTGCCCGAGACCTCGTTTTGCACAGTCTTTCTGCGGCTCGATGCGCCAACGGACCGAACTCGCCCCCCCCCCCCCCCCCCCCCCTGTGGCCCCCCCCTTGGCGAGGTTTTTTTTTTTTTTGGGGGGGGGGGGGGAGAAGATGGGAGCAGACACCGAAACTGTACACCACGCGGCTGGGGCGGACAAATCCTGCCCCCCAAGACAGGCAGCGGCCAAGATGTGGTGTTCGACTATACTATTGCATGGTTTCGCCATTGCAAGACCACTTCGCCGCCGGGGGCAGAGGGACAGGCCCGACGTATAGAGCCCAGTGGCCCGGCGAGGGAGCCCGGAGGCCGACACCGCGGCCCCCAGCAAAAACCTCCCGCCGTGCTCTCTCCTGTGGACACGGCCCAGGGCGTGCCAAGATCTCCGGTGACTGGTTAACGACGTGCTATTTGGACGCCCGAAATGGGTACCGAAAACATGGGTACAATGCCCAACAGCAAATGTTGTCCCAAACCAGCAGCGGCCGCTGTTGGGCGGGCGGCCTCCTGTCTCGAATGGACACAGGCCGCGGCGGCGCGGACAGCGAGACCTGTTCAACATGAACAAGAACTGCTGTTGGGCATCGTACCCATTGTTTCCGTGCCCATTTCGGGCGTCCAGATAGTCGAAAACAAGCTGGTAAGCTTAGGTATGTGTTACGCTTTAAGCGTTGCCATATCCCAGGCTTTGGCTCATATCGCATGAGCAAGAGAGCAAGACGAAGCATGGGATCTGGAGTAAAGGATAGGATGGGCATCGTCAATGGAAAAAGGTATTTTCCGATCTCTGATGCAAGTCGTGCGCCTCGGTGAGGCACAATCACATATTTGGCCGGGCCCGGCTTGAGCCAGGCACGGCAGCGGTACATGCTCGATTTATACCTCGCCTTTAACCTTCTCCGTTTAAAGTCGGAGGGGGAGGAGACGAGCAGGCACCGCACTTCTACATTATGCGGAAAAACAGTGCTAAGCAGCAGCGGCTGCCTACAAGGAAAGGGCGCGCGAGTAGCCTCGCTACCGGCGAGTTTCCTCGCTATTAAAGCGCACCTGCCCGCGGGTTTCCCCGCTAGCTCGGGAGGCAGGGCCGTCCTGAGACGACCTGCCCGCCCTATACGGTGTATGTTTCTTCAGCTCGTGCTTGAAGGATTGCTGGCCGGCCATTACTTGTAGGAGCAACGCGCGGTCAATACTACCTTTGGTATGACCATCGGCAGTCATATCCCGCGTGTCACACCATTGAACGCTTTCAACGATTCCGCGCTCCATCATTTGGCGGATCCAGCTAATGTGCCCAAGCAGAGTACATTCTGTGGGCTTCTTCAGATCTTTGCTAGATAAAGACTTGAAGACAGACTCGGCATCAATAGTCAGAGTGACTTTGATACATAGACCACCCATTTCCAATATGTTCTTTAACTGTGTGGGGGTCAATGGTCCCGAGTGTAGCTCGTGGAGCGTTACAATGGTCGGGTAGCAGTCTTCCAAGTTGTGGGCTGCTGCCAGTGTTTCCGCAGAGTAGCTCGAACGCACCTGCAGTCGATGAGACTTGCAGTATGCGTCCACCAGGTGCACGACGGGTTTCCCCGCTTGCGTGTGGCCACGCCTCAGCAGGTTAGCCCCGCGGATACCATAGCCTTTGACTTCGTCGTCTTCATCTCCGTTGAGACGACGATAGCCAGAATCGCTATGCAGGTCGACTTCTCCTGTTGGGGTCATGGTCATAGCTTGATACACGATCTTCTTCGGACCTGCCTGTAGTTTTCTGGTAACCGCGTTTAGTCGTCGTACCTGGATGTTTGTCGGTTCCTGGATACGTTGTAGTGAGACAACATAGACCATCAGCCATACCTGCGTGATCAACGCATAGGCTAGAGCGCCACGAAGACTGACGAACATATCAGAAATCGTCTTTGTCGCTTTGCTCTCAGGATCAGCTCCTGTGAGTTCTGGATGTGTGATAGGACGAAGCTGTTTGATGTATTCGTCCTGATCAAGAGTGACGCTCCCATCATCGGTCTTGTTATACCGAACGGCACAATTTGTGTATGTGTGCTTGTTCAGTTTGCACTTCCCAAACGTATCTTCAACACACTTGACATACTTGTCAATAGCCTCTTCCTTCCCAGTCATATTGATGTCATCAACGTGCTTGGCTGTCAAGAGGTTTGAGCTCATCTCGAACTCTTCGTCGTATGAAGTAGGCTGTAGCCCAAGCTCCTAGTGATGGACCTGAGCTTCAGCGAGAATGCCCTGGGAGCATCCTTCGTGCCCGTCCCCGGCTTCAGACACCGAAGACAATGCTTTGATTCGTCATATGACTCAAAGCCTGGCAGCGTGCGAAGGACAGCTGCTGACCCAGGTGGTAGTGTGAAGCACACCACACGCTCTTTCTCGCCCGTTGCCGCGGCGAGCTCGCCATAGGTCAGTCCCTTCAAGAAAGCCATGTTGATGTCCAGGGAAGCGATGATCCAAGCTTTGTTGCATGCAGCAGAACTTGCGAGCAGTCTCTGGCTTGACCTCCTTGCCGTGCCAGAGAAGGTTTCGACATCAAAGGCTTCAAGGTCCATAAAGCCACGGAGTACCAAGCGTAACCTGATCGTCCTTTCCATTTCGCCCTTTTCGTTCTTGACAAACTTCCATTTGTATACGTAGCGTGACGTCATGATGTTAGACGCTTTGCTCAAGTCAGTCATCTGGAAGCATTTGTTGTCAAGCCAAGTCTTCAATTCTGTGTAAAGGGCTTTGGAAACTTTGACCGGATTTGCTTGGATGTCGGCCTTCGTGAGTAGATCGTCTTCCTTGACGACCACGGCACGTTTGGAAGCAGCACTAACGTATACTCGCATAGTTGTGACGCTGCTGTCATCCAACAATCGGTGTTGCTGCTCGGACAGGACGACTTTGGACATGTCTGCTGTGAAGCAGAGCTCGATGTACTTCCCGTGCTCATCGGAGTCCAGATCATATTTACTGTCCGGATCCGTGGAGCATAAGGGAACGTAGTAAGAAGTGTCCATGTCGTATCCTGGCGGGTGACCCCGCTCCGGCAAGTGGCCTTGCACATCTTCACAGGTCGTAGAGACTAACACACACTGTGTGTCTGTCATGTATGTGGGAACTGTATGCATGACTTCCTCTGTGTCAGCTTCAAGGAGTGTTCTGTCATCCATCAGTTCAGCATACCACGACTTCAAGACAAAAGCATCCAGATCTTCTTCTGTTTCCTCTATGATGGTCGGGAGCCGACCATCGTTATCCGTAGGAGGCTCCTCAGGAGCAGCTGCTGGAGGTGATTCGCTTGGTGGTGGACCATCAGCGAGTTCCTCAAACTTAGTGAGGTCTCGGTCAAATCCAGCAGACGGCTTCCTGGATTTAAGACACTGGATGATGCGTGAGTGTGTAGATCCTGTGATGTCATAGATGTTCAAGGCAGTGCCATCAGCTTCATAGTAATGAAAACCAGGGGTCACATCATTATCATAGTGCACTAGTGTACAGCTGTCTGCATAGGGTGCAGCAGGCAACTTCGTCAGGCTCTTGGCAAGTCGTACAGCAACAACGTTTTCAATACGAAAGTAGTTGCGTATGAGGTACTGAAGAGCCAAGTGCACCTTAGGCGAAAGTCGGCTCGCAGCAGTCATCTGCAGCCGACCCTGTTTCGCTGGTAGATATCCGAAAGTCATGGCGGGTTTCCCCGCTGGCAGACCGGCAATAAAGGCCAATACTGTCCGAAGGGCCGTATTGTCCGATCCTATCTCGCGGACCATAAGTGCTTCGATGTACAGCGTGTGTCGTGTGTCAGGATACTGTACTCGCACCTCGCGACTGCCGACCTTCACGATGACCTGGCCTCGGTCAGGTTCGTTGCGGATGACCGGGTATGGACCACTCCATCCACCCCAGTCGTCTTTCGTGGTGGTCGGGCGATGATAGTCCACGAGATCTCCCTCTTTGTAGTGAAATTCACCCGTAGCAGTAGTCTTCGTACGGAGAGCCCTGTTCGTCTTGGCAACCGCAGTGGCCTGCGTGATTGCCTCCAGACTAACCCTCCTGATTGTTTCCTCCCTTGAGTGATCTGATGATTCAGCGGACTGATCATGATCCAAGACAGGGAAATCGGGAAGCATAGCTGGTTGTCTGCCATACAGCGCATTGTACGGAGACACTTCATTGTAGAAGGTAAATGCGTTGCTGGCAAACAAGGCTTCATGTAAGAGACGAGTGAAATTGAGAGGAATATTTAATCTATTCAATTCTTCTCCCATCACGTGTAAGAGGTGTCGCAGGATGCCGTTCCTAGCTTCGATAGTTGTGGCGTGTTGGCCACGCGCTCGGATACGAAGCTCTGTTCCCTTAGCCTTAAGGATGGCCTTTGCTGTATCATTATTCAGTGCTCCTTCCCCATCGGAGTATAAGATTTTAGCAGGGCCATGTTGCATCCAAGTCGTATGATAGGCATCGAGAACAGTATGCATGGCTTTATCAGGAATCTCTGTGCCAGCTGCCCAGCGAATACAACGGTCGATGATGTGAAAAACAATATGTTCCTGTTTGTAAAAGAAAAGATCACATTCGACTTCCTCGTTGAAACGTCCTGGCAGTGACACAGAAGGCATCACCGTGTTGCCTGGTTTGTCCCAGGCTCGACATTCTCTACACGAGTCACAAATGCCTTTGATCAGACTCAAACGGGTTTCACCCAGACCAACCTTGGTTAGAATCATCCGCATTTTTGGCTCCTTGGCATGAAACCATCTCAGGTGGAGTTTGCGGAGTTCTCGCTGCACTACAGCTGGGTCGAAGCTGCGCAGGTTTTGGAGGCTGAGCTGAACGTCGAAGCGAGTCCAATCAGGGAGCCTTGGCCTTGGCCTCGGCTCTGCTTGAGGCTGCGGCGGTGGTGGAGGATCTCCTCCCTCCATGCGTCCGCGCCTTGCTGCAACTTGTGGCAGTCTACGGTGATCGTCAGAGCTGCCAGCGCCAGTGTTGCCACCATTAGCCCCTTCGGCTCTGGTGATGTCATGGCTGCTGGCGCCTGCGGTTGGATCGCCCTCGCCAGGCCGTGGCGGCCTAGGCGCGCGTATGCGCGCTCTCGCGGCCGGCGCCGCTTTTGCGGCTGGCGCCGCTTCTGCGGCTGGAGCCGCTTCCGCGGCTGGCGCCGCAGGAGCGGCTTGCCCCGCCGGGCGCGGCTGGCCAAAGTTATCTGGCAGCTTCCATTTTTCGGCGAATCTGCATTGGCCAGATATCTTGGTGTGGTGAGGATTGCTCTTCTGATATTCCTTCTTACAGCTTGGACAGTCCCAGTAATACGGTTCAACATCATACCACCGACACATCTTCGGATCCCTGCTGTGCTTTGGTGATTGCTTGTAGTTGTTGTCCACACAGCCAGGGCACCCAAGACCGCCAGGTGGTGGTCGCCAGATTTCTCCGTTTGGGTGTCTCCGGATTGTTGGGTCGTCCAAGTCGTAGCCAGCACTGTTTGTTACGAACGCATAGCTGCGTTCACGATTCGCGAATGGATCGCGACCGTAAGCAAACAGGTCTTTGGCGATTTGCACCGCATCAACGATCAGTGACTGCATTCTGTAGGTATACTGTGCCGCCCTTGCTAGTTCTTTATTACAAGCATTGGCGTGCACATGATTACCTGGACAACGCTTGCCTCTGAAAGGTGCCAACAACTCTTCTTTGTTTGCCATCATCTGTGTTGGCTTGCGGATGTATTGTCCAAATGAATCTTTGAGACCAGTCGTGCACTGATCAATAATCGTTTGGCAAGTGACCTTGCGTTGTGCCAGTTCCTTCCATGGCTGGATCTCATCCACCCACGTGCCCATTGGTTGTTCCCTGAGAAAGAAACGTCTTAGGTCGTCTTGTAATAGAGCGACTGTTCCACAGAACGTGATGTGAGGCAGGTCCTCTTTGTGGTGTTTAAGCCACGTATCATGATTGACCTGTGCATTGAAATAGGAAGGAAGTCCAGTAGTTCTGCAGCTTGGCTGCAGAATCGTGATCTTGACAAAGCAAGTCTTGAGGTAGTGGAGGACTGCTCTTTGTACTTCCGAGTTTCCAAGGTCAACCATAGATATCTTGTCAAGGTTCCCGCCTGACGAGAGCCCCCTCTTGAAGGCTAATATGGATATACCACCCTTGCCCCCACATAATTCAAGCATGTCCACTTGATTGTTTCTGCCGTAGCATAATGACTGGACCATCGAGAAGACATCAGCATGTGAGTCAGCGGGTTGCCCCGCCGGTAACATCATGAAGATGTCCTCTGATTCGCTGTCCGAGTCCGAGTCGTCAAGAGGAACGTCGTTGAAATATGTGGAGCAGTCAAGTCCTTTGAGGTCCTCTCCACAGTCGTCGTTACCGTCTTCCACTTTCTTCGGGACTTTCTTCGGTTTGATGCTGGCCTCTTTGTCAGCTTTCTGCTTTTCTTTCTGTTTTATCCTGGCATCAGTGGGCAACGCAGTTTCCGCGGAGAGATCCGCTGCGGAGGAATCCACTGTTAAGTCAGGAAATGGCGGAATTTCAGGAAGGTTGTTGGTGGGTCGCGTTTGGCAACGCTCAATCGAAGGGGGAGGAGATCGATCGTCGTCGACGATCGTCACACGCTTTGGGCGTGGCCTTCGCGACTCACCGTCGCCATGAAGAACTGGAGCCGGAGGCTCCCAGTATAGCCGAGTACTGATGTTTGTAACCCCATCAGGTAATGGAGCTACATAATTGCACCCAGTTGGCTGATCCTGAATTCTAATATCTTGAACGATCTTATTCGTGTCCAGGTCGGTCGTGACTCTACGAACAACATGGTCCCATTGAGGGCCCTTTTGTGGACATTGGACGTAGTGTCTGACCTTTTTGTCAACGCGAGTACACACGCTGAGGTGTACCGCACTCCGCTCATTCCTGATCATGTTGGCTTTATCGAGTTGATCAAGGAAGCGTGCAATAATGATAGCCAAAGTTTTATACCGAAACTCGGCACGTTGCTGATCTTGGCCATACCAATCCAAATCATGCTCCTTGTGTGAGCCACAAGTACATTTCCATAAGTTTATCGGTATATGAGGACAAGATGTAGCAACTTGTATATAAGAACCACTGGGATATTTACTGGATCGGTCAAACTTAATACCGAAATGACAGAGTCTGATTCGTATAACGCTTAGCTTCAAATCTTCGATAACATCTTTGATCGGACCCTGTTTCCAGAAATACCCGGGTGGCCCCAGGATAACTATCTGCATTCTCAGAGCACGCGCTTTGATCAGGAGATTTTGTATACGTTGATAATGTGGTCCCGCCCTCTTTCCTGGAGTACGCACGTACCAATCAGAGGGTGTGGCCACCCACAACATATTGTAGTCTCCTGCCAACAAATTTCCCAAATACTGTGTTCCAGTTGAAGTCATTACCTCATTATGGGTAATCCGGTCGCATATATATCCACGGGTTCGGAGTTCAGCGCAAGCTGTGCGAATATCTTCGATGACAAGACATTTTGAATGATATTTTTCCTCTCGGGCCTCAGCGCGGCCAACGTATGTCGCGAGGAGGCCGGTATTCGGCTTCTCTTCGCAAGCGAGCGCCGCCGGCGCGCCCGCCTGCCCCCGTCAGCGGCGGTCGTGTGACCACGTTGCCGTCTGACTCGGGGGCATGCTGTTAGCGGATGGCTCCGCAGGAGTCGCTGGTGCGGCTACGCTCACGATCTCCACGCGGGTTGGCCCCGCAGAGTCCGACGAGCCTCCGCCCGTGTAGCTTGGTGGTGGTGGCGGTGTCGCGGGTGGCCCCGCTTGGTTCTCAGGCGTCCATTTATTCACCGCCTCCTGGACTGCCCAGAATATCTTAGACTTCAGGGCATCCTTCATATGTGGCCAGGTCCCTTCGGGACACTGTTGGCCCTCCCACCAGCTGTTCAGCGTCCTGTCCACGATCAAACGGGTCGTGTCTTCCAGGAGCTGCTTGTCGAGATACGGCTCGACAATGTACGTATCAGTCGTGACGGTCATGGACTGTCCCGTCGCGGGTTGCCCCGCTGTGGTCTCGGCGGGTGGCCCCGCACTTACTCCGGCGGGTGGCCCCGCACTTACTCCGGCGGGTGGCCCCGCACTGACGGGGTCCTCTTCGTTCTCCGTCTCGGTGTAGCCATCTCGACTGCTGCGGATTGTGATGGTGTTCGTGACCGTCTGGCTTTTAGCCCCGTCATACAAACCGCAGGGAATCGCGAGATGTCCCGAGGGAGTTTTCTTCGCCTTCAGGACCTTGGCGCCCCTTCCCAGCTTCAGGGTGTAGTCACCGCTGGGGAAGATAACCTTCTGGTAGCCTGGCTTCTGCACGATGATCGTGTCACGTGCTTCCATGGCTCCTAGGCCCCAGATGGCCGGGAGATTGGCACCCGAGCCTTCTGCGATGTTGGAGGCATACTCCTCGATACGGGGGCTTGCCTCATTGGCGTATTGCACCCCGATCTTGAAGTTGCCCATCTTCCGACATATCGCAGCACCCTCACCGACACCGTTGATGTAGAGGGTCTTGCTCAGGGTGCATATGGCAGGTCTGTGATTGTACCTGGCCATAATCTCCTGGAAGGTTCGCGCCGTATGCATTGGTCGAATTAGGTCCGTTGGAAGCCAAAAAAAAAAAACACAATGTCTAGCATGAAAACGAGATAGCAGTGGCATAACCGGTCTTCGTCGACCGAACGAATGTCCCTTCTGCGCTGCCAGACATAGAAGGGAAACAAAACAACACAGAAAATTAAGCGGTCAAAAATGATTTAGAAAGAAAGATAAACTAAAAAGACTAAAAAAAAAAAAGCAAGAAAAAGGAAAGAAAAAGAGTTGCCATTGTCATATGGCATCTGTGTGGGTCGTTGGCGCGCGTACGAGTGTGCCTTTCAACAGGCGTTGTTCAAGCACCCATTGACTCATGGTTAACTCGGCGCACCACATCTGCTCATATTGGCGGCGCTCCTCCACGGTAATTGGTTCCTGTTCAAGAACCCAATAATTCGCAGAGAGTGTGGACATCCATTCACCTCCTGGCGGCAGCGTGTCCGTGTCGTCACGTGCATAGGTCAGCCCCTCTGTATCGATCATGAATGTGGTGTGGAACTGGGCTGCCTCCGCGCTCTCAGCGCTTGCCCGGCTCCTAGCGCTGACAGGGCTTGCCACACGTGAGGTCCTGGATGATCCAGTTGGCCTTCGAGTCCCACCTCCGCTCCTGCCACTCCGCCTGATGTTGGCCTCCATTGCCCTCAGGAAACCTGGATTTGGAGGCCCATTTGCGGGTGGCCCCGCTTTGGCGGCGGGAGCCGCTTCAGCGGGTGGCCCCGCAGCTGGGGGCTCCTGTGCTCGAAGCGTAGGCAGGATTGGCATCTGGATGCCTTGCTCTGGCGCTGGCCAGGGGTGTGTCTGTGCAGCTGGGGCACGTGCGGATGGCTCCGCCGAGTGTGCGGCTCGAGCCTCTAGTGCCTCCACTGCTTCCCGCAACCGACGCATTTCCCGGGCATCTGCCACGTACCTTTCCTGCTGGCGCGCTTGTTCCGACTCAGCGTCGCGCTGTCCAGCATACGGGAAATGTGCTGTAAGTATACCCGGCCCACGACATGCAGGGGGCCTCGTTCGGCGCACCTGGCCGCTGGTTGCGGACGTGCTGCTGTGCAACACGATCCCAGCATATCTCGTGGAAGAAGTGCCCACACGCCAGTCTCCACACTGTGGTGCCCATCTCGTAGGTGTCCATACAGATTGGGCACTGTGTGAAGTTGTAGTCTGAAATGACTGGAGCAGGCACGTCTGGGCGAGTCCGAGCTTGGCGCTCGAAAGTGGTTTCGCCCTCCCGATATGCGTCGGTGGCGGCCGTCTATCTGTCCGTTCAGCGGGTGGCCCCGCGTCTGCGGGTGTCCCCGCTTGGGTCTCACGCTCGATCCTTCTCTGGATCGCGCGTTGTTGGCGCAGCCTGGCGTTGTCCCGAGCCTGCTGCCTAGATGCCAGTATCGCTTGCTGCGTGTTGTGCACGTCGCGGATATAGTCTGGCATGCTGCTCATAGCGGCTGGCACCGCGAGACCAGCTGGCTGAACTACGGTCTCGGGGTCCGTCGGCGTGGGCATGTAGGCGTAGTGCGGCATAGACTGCGCATCGACCGCTCGTGTAAACTGCAAACGAAACATCTCATTGGCAAGATTCCGAGTGTATTCGTTCGCAGGTGCCCCGCAATCATAGGAGTGTTATTCATCTGCGCGTAGTACTCCGGGTACATCGGCGCGTCCATGGCCTGTGCCTCTGCTGGTCCATGATTGTCCCATCCATATATTGGGTGTGATGCTATTCCTAGAATAAACACCTGTCGATATGAATTCGTAGGATCAGCATTTGGAGCATCTTCAGAAGTCCAGCTCCAGAGAGGCCGAAAGTCGCCATGATTCGTAACATCTATGTTGCGGTTCCGCAACAGGCTGGGAACTCTATCAGCTTGTTGCTGCAGAAAGGTAGCCTGTGCTCTTAAGTTGGCTGCCCGACGTTCATAGTCTGAACCTTGCTGTCCGTCAGCGGGTGGCCCCGCGTGTGCGGGTGGCTCCGCAGGCGTTCGCTCGGCGGGTGTCCCCGCAGCCACTCCTCCTTCACTACCCCTCTGAGTGCCAAAGGGAGTGGTCGCCTGGAGTGCTGCTGCGAGCGCCGGATTCCCGCGAATCGCCTGGAGTCTTTGCCACAAGCTGTTCTCGCTCGTTTCAGACGGCGGAGTCCGAAACGGCGAGCCACCATCTGAACCGCCCATAGGGACACACCTCGCACCTCCAGCCTGCTGCGGAGGGCGTTGTGGTTGTGGTCCTAGGACGCCTGGTGGCCCCGCAGGAGTGCGCAGGTTCCTCTGCTGTGCGTCTTGGATACCTGTATGCACTGCCCACGGGTCAGCACGATATAAAAATAATAAGAATAAGAACTATATAAAAAAGAAAAAAAAAAAAAAAAGAAAACAGAATAAAAAAAAAAAAACAAAAAAGAAAAAAAATCAAATTATAACACCGAACACAACGATATGGTAAAAAAAGAACCATTATTTAAAAAAAAGAAAACAAAAAAAAAAAAAAAAAAGAAAACAAAAAAAATAAAAACAAAAAAAAAAAATAAAAGCATAGAAAAAAACTTAAAAATAAAACTAAAAAAAACAGAAATAAAACTCCCCATAATAAAAAAAAAAATAAAAAACAAAAATAATAAATAACGAAAAAAACCAAACATATAACCAAAAAATAAAAATACAGAAAAAAAAAAAACAAAAAAACAAATATACGTATAATAAGAAAAAAAAAAAATGAACATAAAAGAAAAAAGATAACAAAAAGAAAAAAATTTGAAAGCATTGTGAACAAAACATAAAATGGCTGATGTCGGTCAGTCCAAAGACGTCGGCTGATGTCAAATGGCTGTTGAGGGCCTGGACCCATGTCTGCTGATCCGGCCTCCAAAGAGATGCTACCGTTGCTACTGGTGTGACCACTTGTTGCCATGAACCGTCCGAGGTGTCTACCGCGGGTGTCCCCGCACCTGCGGGTGGCCCCGCTTCAGGCATGACCTCGTCCTCCTGGGCATTCATCATGAGGACTGTCTGTGTGTCGTACGGTCGTTGAGCAACATCTTGCTCGGTCATGACCAAATTGAATGGGCGACCGTCCGTCTTAGTCCAGCCCTTTAGGTACATGGCGTGATCTTCCATTACACCCAGAGTTCTGTCACACATTTTAAGTGGCAGGTAGTCATCGGTGCGAATCCTGTCCGCGGGTTGGCCCCGCCTCCGCGACTTGTCATAAGCCAGCGGATTGCTCCAGGCTTCGCCGACCCGATATTTCGCAATGCTCACAATCTGGGGGATATGATCGGGCGGTATACGTCCGTCGTGGCCCCGTGTCATGACTATGTCATTTGCTGATCTCCATAGGGAGAAGCCACTGGACAGCATCTTGTTGATGCTGCAGAATATGAGCACCTCCGAGTCAGGACGGATGCCCGATTGAATCCTCGGGTCGCCCGGGAGGTAGGGGCAGCCGTGTACAAATTGGCGCCCCCCCTTCCTTTTAGGGTTGTCCTGTGCGAGGCATGAAAGGCCATTAGCAAGGATGTCCTTGACATACTCCACTGTGTCCCGTGGATGAAATATACTGGGTCGTCTGGTTCTTTCATCCATGTTGTGATCGGCTTATAAAGCGACTCGGGACAGTGGATGCCTGGACTGCTGTGGCCGTTCGTGGCTCTGATGAAGTACTGCGGCCTGCGTGCCGTTGGTCGAAACCTGGGAGGCAGCAGCATGCTGTCATCAACGCACTTCATCTGGAGCCTGCCCTTCTGCATGCCGTGATGGTCAATCATCTCACAGCAGTTTAGCAGCACCCAATACACGTATGACGTGTGGGGCCTGCACTTGATCAGCACCTCGTGCATTTCACGATAGCCTTTCCACTGATCATTTTCAGTCCAGTTTGTCAGCAGATCGTCAACAACAACCCAGCCATCGTATGGATCGAAAGTGCTGATCTTTTCGAAGTGTCGGCTGAATCCGTCCTTCCAATATGGACTATGGCGTAGGGCTGTAGAGAACCATATTGACACCTTGGTCATTTGCCCTTCGCGCGGCAAAGTCGGATCCATGCCGAACCTCTCCATGACCTTCAGGAGCTCTGCTTTATGCTGCGCAACGCGTAGTGGCGGCCTGTCTCGCAGCATATTTCCCACGGTTTGTTGTTCACGTTCCCAGTCGTTGCGGCACTCGAAGTTACGACGATCAGGGCAATTAATGACCTCGTATCGGTCCGTATCGTCTCGAGTGACTCGTGGGTTTATGGTGCGCTTCGGGCCTTTGCCTTCAATGCCTTGCCAATATTCAATGGCTCCCAGAGGGATGTTCCTAAGAACAGACATCGCTGGCTGCCAGCGTGCGGGTGGCCCCGCTAATGCAGCTGGCGGCGCTTTAACGGGTGGCCCCGCTAATGCAGCTGGCGCCGCTTTAACGGGTGGCCCTGCAGAACCTGCGGCTGACGAGGCAGCTCCAGCGGATGACTCCGCGCCAGGGTTCGGGTGACCTTGGTCAGCAACTGCATCATCGGTTAGTTTCTGTCGGTCGCCAAATTCTTTGAGGACTCTGAAGCGTTCTTCTCTTGAGAGAGTGCCTTCTGCGGGCGTCCCCGCTGCTGCAGCTGGCGCCGCTTTAGCGGGTGGCCCCGCAGAGCCCTTGTCCTCCTTAGCCTTGGCGGCCGCTTCTGCCCGCACCGACCTCATCCCAGCTTCGGGCTTCGGCTGCGCTTTCATTCGTGCCGAACCTGGTCGTGGTGCAAGGCGCGGCTGATGCAGAGTTGGAGTCCAGTCACCTCGGAAAGCTGCCTTAGGCTTGACGCGAACTTCGTCCTTGACATCGCCTTGGGTCGCCGGTGGCATCGGGGTCGATGGTCCAGCAAAAGCCTTCCTCCTCTCCGTCACGGACAGACCGGGAGGATCTACCAGCTCAGGGTCGTCCGTCTTGGCGATCCCTCTGGCCTTCGCCCGCCCTTGTGTGCCTTCGGGGCTCTTGGACGGGTGCCTTTTCGCAGGAGTCGGTGAAGACGAGGAGTCGGCTTCAGGTCTTGGAGGTGGTCTGCTGCCCTTGCCCGGTTGTGGGCCAGGAGGGTCTCTAGGAGGGCCTTCTGGCTGGCCATGATCATGGATGACCTGCCTCATCTGGTCGATGTCGGCAGTACCTTTTATGGCCAGCTTGTACTTGCCATTTTCATGGCGGTGAATTACCCTCGTGCAAAACCACTTCTGCGCCGAAGAGCTGTAGTACCAGCAGGCGCATCCATCAGGGAATGGATTCTCTGAGCCGTCCTCCGCCGCCCATTCTTCATTCAGTTCGGTGTGGTCAGTGCCGGCGGCGGACCCAGCAGCAGATGCAACAGCTATCCAATCGTCGTCCGCGGACCCAGCGGCTGGCGCCGCGTCTGCGGGTGACCCCGCTTCTTTGCTGGATCCTGCGGGTGACCCCGCCTCTTTACTGGATCCTGCGGGCGACCCCGCCTCTTTATGGAATCGGCGGTTCCATTCCTTGAGGCGATGGTCATTGGGAAGCTGTACCCAATTTTCCCTGACGATGTTGGCCACCTCTTCGGTCATAGGGACGCGATCGGCTTCGGTGATGCGCTTTCCTCCTCCAGGGACCTCCTTGTTAGGATCATGGACGTTGCCAGCGTCATCTCCATGAGACCAATCCCACGGGGTCTCACCGTGATGAGGACTCCTGGAGGGGCGGTCCATCGGACAACTGCGCATGTGACCTTTGAAGGGCTCGCACTGACATACTTGTTTCCTGTATGTCTTGCGATCGTTGATGATCTCCTGTTTCTTAGCCCTTTTGTCCCAAGCCTCTGGCGTTTTTGTCTTGCCACCCTTGGTACGTATTATCACGCCAGTTTCGTCCCTTTTGGTGCAGTACTCCTTAGAATACCAGTGGCGGATCACGTCCATCGAATAGCCGGGGTACCAGTTGATGTACCAATCCGGCACATGCTGAGCGGATACTCCAACGGAGTGCTCAGTACTGTATGGATAGCCCGATGCATCATGTGTAGGGCGTCTGGGAGCTGAACGGCCCCTCCTGCGGGCTGGCCCCGCTGACGCACTACCGCGTTCCATTGGCCTTTGATCGTCATGCTCTGAGTCTCGGGGAGGCGACGGTCGTCTGTCCCTCTTGGCGTAGCGCATGTCCTCCGAGTCCTCTGAGCTGTCCTGGACCATGAACACGTGTTGATACGGGCTTCGGAAGTACCCGATGTCGTTTAACTGCTCCATCGTGAGGTCGTTAAGGTCTATTTGATCACAACCCTGCATAAATACATCCATAGACCAAGCGGGTGGCCCCGCTGTTGCGGCTGGCGTCTCTTCGGCGGGTGACCCCGCTAGAGCCTGGAGTGCTGTCAGCATCTGAGGTGCCGACATGTCCGAATCCAGGTATGGACGCAGCCTTGCGGCCCCTGGGCGCGACAGCAGGTCGTTCATGGTTATCTGCTGATGTGCTGGCGCACTCAGGAGCCGGATTGCTTATGCGACCTGCTCTTGGAGCATGTCCTTATAGTCCTCTTCGGCCTCTTCGGAGTCAGAATACGCGGGATGGCCCCGCATTTCGTCATCAGCGTCTCCCGCCTCCGAGCCAGCTCGCGAAAGATCTGGCAGCAACGGCGTGCCAATCACCTGCGGTGCCAGCGCGGCGGTGAGCTCTTCCTCGGTCGCCGGACGGTCATCACCGTCGAAGCACTCTGGTCGCCGGCGGACTCGGTGGCCCCGCTGGAAGAACGAACCAACCTTGAACCCTCGACTCTGTCGCCACACGCCCAGCACTGAAACTCGTCCAGAAGAGGGTCAATGCTTAGTCTTCCAGAATCTGACAACAGAATAAAAATCAACAGATGCTTGTTTTTTTTTTTCATGCGTAGGTCGGGCCCTCCACTTAACTACGTGGAGGAGCCCGCAAAAGCGGGACCGCTCTCTGTGATTTGTAGCTCCAGTAAAACTCGTAGTCAATTATAACATATCATACCATAAAATAAAAAGAATTTTGAGCAAAATGCACGGATCCCTTTCCTTTCCCCTTCGGGCATTGATCGCGCAAATGCTCTGTGCTACCGCATGTATGACACTTCATAGTATTGCCAGAAGCGCCCCTAGGGTTGCCCCTCCGCCCTTTTCCCTTACCGGAGGTCCGCCTGTGACCCCGACCTTTGCCTCCGATAAGAACTTCTTCAAAAACTATATCAGTTAAGGACGTGAGGAAAGCAGTAATACCCCTACCATGCATACGGCGTCTGCGACCCCCTTTGCCACAACCCTTTCCATATCGTTTGAAATGTCGGCGTACTGCACGTCTCACTTTTCTGACTGGTTTCTTCATAAAGCGCCTCCAACGGCGATTTGATTTGCGATAGGCCATAAAAGCGGCTTCCGCTCTTTGTTGTTCAGAAAGGTGAGTGTCATCCGCTGGATAGTCATTACCAGCAGAGACTATGCCATTGTGCTCATCGTCAGATGAGGTGTCTGTGTCAGTGCCAGATTCAAACGGTAAGGGCGGCTGAGACCCTTGAGCGGATGACTCCGCTTGGCCCCAGAGGGTTGTGCCCGAGGGCGGGCTTGCAGTGTAGGCGGCGCCTGGCGAGTAGTTCGACCAGGCGTTCGCCTCAGCTGCCTCTGCCGATGCCTGGCCGGTCTGCCCTAGAAGGGCAGTGGCCTCGGTGGGCATATCGGCTGGGTCAGCCCAGGGATTTGGCTCGCCAGGACCAGCGGGTGACCCCGCAGTCGTGGCATAGACACCTGCATGTGAGTGGTGCCCTGTGAAGATACCCGCTATGTTGCCAGGAGAGCGCTCGGCAACATGTCCGTAGTTCCTCATCCTGGTCAGCAGCCTGTCATAGTCTGCTTGTGTTCTGGGCATCTGATGATTAAATGGCTCCAGCAGGTGTTGGGCTCGTGACGCGCCAACGCCTAACGCTCTGAAGAGAATCAGCGTTAGGATCTGAAAGTTGGGGATGACAAATCCAACAGAGTTAGCCTCGTCACGGGCCATCTCGAACCGAGCTTACACTGAGTCGATTCGCTCGCCCCTTTCGACGCGAAAGTCGATAAGGGCAGTGCCAGAGTTGAGCTGGCGCTCATCTTCCAGATTTTCAAATTTGGTGCTCAGTAAGTACAGTATGTAGGTTACTGCATCCGTTGGCTGTCCATTGACAGTTACACATAATTGATGATCTGGGAGGGGACCTGCATGGCGATACGACGAGCCAGACCCTGAAGGCCTCGTTGTAGTGCTGCAGCTTGTTGTGGTGGTGTCATATTGCCGCTCGTTACGTTTAACCATGCATGTACTTCGCGAACATATTCGCGAAAAGGCGTAGTACCGGCAGGGTCCCATGAGGGGCCAGTAGTACGCGTGTCGTCCATCCCCTGCCGCATGTATCCCACAGCACATCCCATTATAACCCACAGAATGCCGAAGATAGTTATCTTAATCCAGTGCATGTGCATTTCGGCTTCGGTGATTGGTTTAGGCTGTGGTTTGTCAGGCTCTGGCGTAGTAGCCGTGAGGCGCCTGACTGGCACGGGATGCAGGTGGCCCCGCTGCGGGTAGCCCCGCTGGGTGACCACGTTCTCGATCGAGTTGCCGATTGGCATCTGGTGGAAGTCGGGAGTGAAGTAGCGCAGTGAAGTAGGAGATAGCGTCTCGAGTTCGCGGGTTACCCCGCTAGCTCGATCGCGGACTGGCTCCGCTCCTCGCAGAGCCGGCGCAACATGGTATTCCACCGTAGTAGTAGTCCACCAAGTTGTGCCGTGGATTACAGGAATCAGAGCGAGAGCCAGCCACACGAGAGTGTAGCCAGCTCCGCTACCAAGTCGAAAACAAGCTGGTAAGTTTAGGTATGTGTTACGCTTTAAGCGTTGCCATATCCCAGGCTTTGGCTCATATCGCATGAGCAAGAGAGCAAGACGAAGCATGGGATCTGGAGTAAAGGATAGGATGGGCATCGTCAATGGAAAAGGTATTTTCCGATCTCAGATACAAGTCTTGCGCCTCGGTGAGGCACAATCACATATTTGGCCGGGCCCGGCTTGAGCTAGGCACGGCAGCGGTACATGCTCGATTTATACCTCGCCTTTAACCTTCTCCGTTTAAAGTCCGACGTCCCAAATCGACCCAAGAGGCCACAAGGACTGCCTCGAGGCGGCCGTAGAGGCCCCCAAGAGCACCAGAAGACGGCCCAAGAAGGTTCCAAGAAGGCTTCGGTCGGGCATGTCCCCCTACAGGCGGACACAATATGTTCAAAAAAGGCCCAAAAATAGTCCAAAAATCGTGCCCCGATGATTTTTAACTATTTTAGAATATTCCTCCTGTAGAGGGACACGCCCGACTTACAAGGAAGGCCCAAGAGGCACCCAAGAATGCCCACGAGGGCCCCGAGACGGCCACAAGAAGGATCCAAGAGAGCGTGAACACGAACCGATAATTCTAGCCTTCCGCCCCACGAGGAGGGCTCCGCTGGCCCCCTTAGACGGCCAGAAGAGGCCACAGAGAGGCCCCCAAGAGGGTCCCGAGAGGCAAGAAACATTGACTCCCCGTACGTACTACCACGTTTTTGGAGATCTCGCCCTTCTCCCGACGCTCCGACACGGCCCAGGAGGCCCCCAAGACTCCCCCGAGACGGCGCAGGAGGCCCCCAAGAGAGCTCCAGAACGGCCGGGAAGGCTCCGAGGCAGCCCAAGAGGCGCCCAAGACCGCCTCAAGAGGAGCCCAGAAATGGGCTCACAAACCAAGCATTCGTGCCGTCTGCCCCAACCCCCAGCAAGCCCCCTTGCCTTCTAGAAGAATTGACACCCGGAATGCTGCGCGTGGCGGAAATTCCGGAGGCTGCTGGGTGAATTCACGCACGACCGTATCGGAAAAAGCCCCGCGTGCGCTGCATCACACGGCAAATGCCAGCACGAAGCGCTTTTTTTAGGAGGAGCGGAAAAGCTTTGACTGCAAGGCTTAACTCACCACGCACACATGGTGCGACGTGTGCTTGACTACGTTTACATCTAATTCCGTCACTTGCCAGCGCCAACGGGGGGGGGTGAGGGGCAACCGTAGGGGGGACGGCTCGATAAAAAACATCGACCCGGACTCGGCGATACCTCGCCGATGAATCGGCGAGGGGCCCCCGCACCTTCCTGGGCGGGGTGGGCCATCGGGCCATACAGCGATGAATGGTGAGGGGGTGGCGTATGCGATTTCGCGGGCTGCTATGTTGCATGGTCTGGGTGAGTGGACGTATCATCGTGACTGCCTTATCGCGTCGGAGAAAAACTAGCGGAGAAGAGCGCAGATCACACGATGCACGTACAGTAGCGTGAGCCACGGGTTCGTGCCGTGGGACTCCTGGTTTACAGGCGATTGAGGGGCGATGCATCCCCCCAAAAGCCTACCACCCCCCAACGTTGCCCCCTGGGCTTCGGACGATGACTCGGCTCTCCGGCCGCCGTTCGGGACGATGCGGGCACCCCGGAACGCCCTCGACGAGGCGCAGCCGCTGGAAGGCATCCCGAGGCTGGAAAGCCGACGAGAACCGACGAGAATGTCCAAAACCTCAAGCGGTGCCCCTGACAGGAAGGGAGCGTGAGCGGCCGCCGCCGGCGGGTTGCGCGCCTTGTCGCTGACCGTCGCCTTCGCCTAGGCGGGCGGCGAGGGCGGAATCCGGGAGCGCCGCGGGCGAGCTCGAGACGGCTCGCGCCCCGGCCGCGACACACCGCCCGCTCCTCTCTACTCAACCGCCAGCCCCCTCGGGGATAGGCGGCGGCGTACAGGGCAGAGTGCTGGGGGATGCATAGTTCGCTGGGCTTCGCGGAACCAAATTCATTATGGTCATCGTCGTCACCACCACCTCTTCATCATCATCTCCACCGCAACAGTGGCCAAAATCACCACCATCAGCAGCAACATCATTATGCACCGCAACCAACATCGGCATCAACATCAACATCAACATCCAAATCATCATCACCACCAACAGCATCCTCATCATTATCCTCCTCAACATCAGCAGCAACAGCATCATCAGCATCCTCCTCATCACCATCATCGTCAGCAGCATCGTCGTCAGCATCATCATCATTATCAGCATCATCATCATCATCATCATCATCATCATCATCATCATCATCATCATCATCATCATCATCATCATCATCATCATCATCATCATCATCATCATCATCATCGTCAGCAGCATCGTCATCAGCATCGTCATCATCATCATAACCATCATCATCAGAGCAATATCAAATCACCAGTATGATTGGCCTTATCACCCATCAAGCACACACATCATCACCATAATACATTCATTTCCCGTCACTATCCACTATCATCGTCACCATCACCATTACCACCATCACCATCGCCGTCGTCTTCATCGTCACCATCGTTATCTCATCCCCTCCTCCGCCCTCCTTCAATCCCTTCTGTCCCCTTCCTCTGTGCCCTCCCGAGTCTGATTCCTCCTACCGTCCTCCTTCGCCTCCCCACAACTCCTCCATCATTCCTTCCCCATCCCCCGTCCTCTCCCCACCCCTCCTCCCCCTGGCCCACCCTCCTCATGATTTGCTCTCCACTCCCCGCATTCCTCCCCCCACTTCCTCACCCCCCTCCCTCGCTCCCTCCCCTCCCCCCCTCCCTCCTCCCCTCTCTCATCCCTTCTGCTACTGGGAAGGTACCACCGCCACGGCTTCCCAATGCGATTCACCAACATGTGCCTCACTGTCAACCGTTCCGCCTGTTAGATGGCAACGCGCGGCAGTGACGCAAGACCCAAGTTCGCGTGGCGAAGTCTGGTCACAAGTGCGGTGTTGCGACCGCTCTCGTTAGTCGTTGCTCCAACATCACTCTAGAGTGGCATAGGGTTCCAAGTCAGTCTCGCTTGGTGCCTACATCGGCGACTATGCCCTCTCGTAGTCGTATCGGGCAAGCGGCAAGCGGTCATTGATAATCTCCTGGATGGGGCTCTTCAGCTGCAGATTGCAATCGAGTCAGATCTTGGCTGTGCCATTTATGTTGCTAAGGTGGTCGCGGGAGCTTCAGCACCAGCAGCTGCCAAGGCTCGCCAGCGTGGCCTTGGAGCTGTGGGAGGTACATAATGCGCCTCCGCAGTCAATGAGGGTATCGACGATGCCGCTGGCAAGTACCTCAGAGTGGCGCGTCGAGGCGCCGAGGAGGCAACTTTAAACTGCGTGGAATTCCTTGCCGGCTTCATTGACATAAATCGTCGCTGGGTCGCCACGCTGAACGATAGCTTCACTGCTGGGCCACTCGCGGCGCGCACATGCTGGTACGAGATGCACGGCACATTTGAACACGAGATGGGTTCTGTGCGCCGTTCTCTGGGTCAATATTTGCAGCCTGGCGCTGTAGCGAGATCCCTGACTGCACCGTTGCTGCTTGCCGCCGACTCCTGTCGGAACTGCGCAGTGGCCCCCATCGTCGGATGGGCTAAGGAAATTGAGCCCGTGATATGGGGGCCTTGCAATTATGTCTTGCGTTCTCGGAGCCTTGGAGTACTTAGGAACTTGGATTCTCGAGGCCTGTGCTACCATAAAGGGGGGTGGCAGGTTCCTTTGTGGCCCTTCGGAATTGTGTAGAGCGCCTCGAATGACTCCACGTCTCCAGTGGACGACCAGGCTGTTGAGATGCCCCTCGGCTTGCCCTCCACAGCGGGTTTCTCAGGACAGCGGTGATGCGTGGCAACGAGCACGCTTACTCGCGGAGTCTCGGATTGCACTACCGCGCGTGCTCAGATGTGGCTCTTGTGTGTGTTTCGTCTCTTCTCGGTTCCCCCTTCTTGAGACAGGGTGCATCGAAGGTCTTGTCTGCCGAGCACCGTGGACCAGTGCAAGAGCCGCGGAGCACAGGCACGAGCTGCCTGACCTGTTGTGCCAGCTCTCCAACCCAGGGTCACCCTGTTCCTCTGCATGTGGATGTGCCAGCATGAGTTGTGCGCCAGCGTCCGCCCAAAACTGGTTCACGACAAGCTTGCGGATTTCCCCCAGGCCTGGCAGACAGTGCCAAAGCCTGAGCAGATGATTCGCACGTTGGACTTGCCCTCACGCCCAGGAAACTTCTTCCCGAAGCCCAGCAATGTTGAGCCGACGGTCAGGCATTTACAAATTCCTGCGCGTAATAACTACTCCATTCAAAAATGAATGTACGTAAGGGGTTGGTGCGCGCCCTGGTCGGTTATGAGAGAACTGCCACGGACTGGGTGGGCGTAAGCGTCGGTGCCTGAACCAGGTAAGGCAGTGGATCATGTGTTCGCACCCTTCGCCCTTGGAATCCCCAAGACGGCGCACACTGGTGAATTCGATGCCTGCACTGCTGCGTACCAGACTGATTTCAATGAAGCAGGAGGCTACGGGCTACGGTGCCTGTCAGTCAGAATGTGGTGCAGTTGCGGATAGCGCAGCGATCAGCGATTACTATTAGAGCGCGTGCACACTGGTATGCTTGTCTGGACATCCGGTTCCAGGATGAAGCACAACCGTTTAGTGAGGGGCAACGATAGGGGGGGACAGGGATAGGGGGGGGAAACATCGACATGGAATCGGCGATACATCGCCGATAGATCGGCGTTAGGCCTCCGATAGCGAATCCGAAAGTTCCTGGGCAGGTTGGGGCTATCGGGCCCCTATCGGCGATCAATGGGCGATTGGGGGTCGATATATCCCCCCCTATGCCTATCCCCCCCTATCGTTGCCCCTGATTAAGTCACATGAGTGATGAACCGGCTGCAGGTGGCCACACACGCAGTTTTGTAAGGCAGGTAGTGGTATGCGTGACCACTGTGCCCTCATTCACGAGAAGCCTAGCCCTGAGCATAGTGGGTGCCCCCTGGACACAGCAGGTGGTTTATGATGTCTGAGAAACTGTGGTTGCTTGCTTGACGATCTCACCTCAAAAACTCGTCACGTTTTGAGAGGGTTGGGGCAGTGCTGGCAATGTGGCCATTGCGTAAGGGTGACAATGTGCATGTGGTCCTTTTGCACCTGCGTGCGCCAAGACACAAGCTCGTGGATTCCAAGTTGCAGAGTTTCGGACATCAGCACATCGCGATGTCCTGCTCTGACGGCGGCGTGCTGTGAAGATGCCTGAAATGCAAGACGTTCCTAAGCGGAAGTCGCGCAATGTATCTCGTACCACAATATACATGATGTTTGGCTGGATGCGACGGCAATGATGGCAATGACCAAAACTGAAAGTAAATAGTCCGTGTCGATCCTGGCCATCGTCCATCCTAGTCATCGTCGATTCGTGGACCATCCTCGAGAATCGGCGACAACTGCCATGCACCATGACCAAGACTGGCGTCGACAAGATCCCGCGGCATCTTGGTCATGGTTACCGCGTGCCGCGTTGCATCCCTGGAGCAGGGTCCATCAACGTGATCCGCTTTGATTCAATCGACGTGTCTGCAGCCTCCTGGCGCCCTGGTGCCATGAAGGCGCTGGCCTCGTCGCGTGGCTTTTGGCATGTGCCAATCTCGCGCATGATTGCTTGTCTACGCGCATCTTCCGCCTCCACACTGATTTCTGCTGGCGCGGAAGCCTCGGCGCCGTGCTCGACAGCTGCCTGGCCGCTGCCAGCAAGCAAACGGTGATCGCGGCAGTGAAGCGCAGTAGCAAATCATCGCCCCTCGATGTCCTCCTCCTCCTCCTCCTCCTCCTCCTCTTCCTCCTCCCCCAGCTCCACCCAGCTCCAGTCCGCCTCCTCCTCCTCCTCCTCCTCATCATCATCATCATCACTACCATCAGAAGCAGCATCAGAATCAGCAGCAGCATCCGAAGAATACTCACCATCGTCACCATCTCAATCATCATCATCATCATCACCACCACCATCATCATCATCATCATCATCATCATCATCATCAGCAGCATCATCATCACCAACACCATCACCATCACCATCATCATCAGCAGCATCATCATTACCCTCACCCTCACCCTCACCCTCAGCAGCATAAGCATCATCAGCAGCAGCATGATCAGCATCATCATTAGCATCATCATCAGCAGCATCAACATCATCATCAGCATCATCAGCATCGTCGCGGTCGTCGTCATCGTCGTCATCGTCGTCTTCATTATCGACATCACAATCGCAATAAGCATAACAAACATCAGCGTTGGCAGCAGCAGTATGATAACCCTTGTCATCCATCATCATCATCATCATCATCATCATCATCATCATCATCATCATCATCATCATCATCGTCAGCAGAAGCATCACCACCACCAGCATCACTAGAATCGTCATGATCCGCATCATCATCATCATCATCATCAGCAGCAGCATCACCAACTGATCAGCATCAGCATCGTCATCATCATCACCATCACCATCAGCATCGTCAGCATCATTCTGGTCACCATCATAGTCATCATCCGCATCGTTATCAGCAGCATCATTAGCATCATCAGCATCATCACCATCATCAGCATCAGCAGCATCACCATTACCATCATCATCATCATCATCATCATCATCATCATCATCATCACCATCATCAGCATCACCAGCATCAGCGTCATCATCAACATCATCAGAAGCAGTATCGTAATCCGCAGCATCGACGTGCCCACCACCATTCGCATCATCATCATCATCAACATCCTCCTCCTCATCAGCATCCCCATCATCATACACCTCGTCCTCCTCCTCCTCCTCCTCCTTCTCATCATCATCATCATCATCATCATCATCATCAGCAGCATCAGCATCAGCATCAGCATCAGCATCCGCCGTCATCATCAGCATCAGCAGCATCAGAAGAATCATCCTCATCCTAATCAACATCATCCTCATCCTCGTCATCGCCGTAACCATCATCATCAGCAACAGCATCATCGTCAGCATCGTCACCGTCATCGGCATAATCGCTCGCATCATCATGATCTCCATCAGCATCAGCATCAGCATCAGCATCAGCATCCTCATCATCAGCATCTTCAGCATCATCATCACCAGCTGCTACTTCATCATCATAATCATCGCCGTCGTCATCATCATCATCAGCATCGTCATCATCAAAATCATTACAATCAGCAACATCATGCTCATCATCATCATCATCATCATCATCATCATCATCATCATCCGCCTTATCTTCCTGCACCTCGTCCTCATCATCAGCATCGATCATCAGAAGCATCGTCAGCATCATCCCCATATCCCCATCCTCATTTTCGCCAGCATCATCATCATCATCAGCGTCATCATCCATCGTCATCAGCATCATCATCATGATAAGCATCATCATCAGCATCATCAGCATCACCACCATTCATTGTCACTCATCATCATCATCATCATCATCAAGATCACCGCGGTCGTCATCATCATCATCATCAGCATCGTCGTCAGCGGCAACATCACCATCGTCATCGTCTTCGGCAGCATCGTTATCATCATTATGATCAGCATCAGCATCAACATCAGAATCCTCGTCAGCATCATCGTCATCATCATCATCATCATCAGCAGCATCATCAGCATCGTCAGTAGCATCATCATTGTCATCACCGTATGACCATCAGCATATGCATCATCATTCTCATAATTCTAGTGCTCGTCAGCATCCTATTCCTCATCATCGTCATCATCATCATAATCATGGGCATCATCAGCATTATCATCATCATAGTCACCATCAACACTACCGTAATCCTCATAATCATCAGCATCGTCGTCATCATCATCATCAGCATCATCGTGGCCGTAGACGGCGTCGTCCTCATCATCATCATCATCATCATCATCATCATCATCATCATCGTCGTCGTCGTCGCCGTCGTCGTCAGCGGTGTGATAAACAGCATCATCATCAAAATCATCATCATTATCAGCATCAGCATCATCATCATGATCAGCATCGTCATCATCATCTTCATCATCATCAACATGATCCGTATCATCATTATCATCATCATCAACATGATCAGCATCATCATCATCATCATCATCATCATCATCATCATCATCATCATCTTCATCATCATCAGCATGATCATCATTACCATAACCATCAGTTTCATCATCATCATCATCGTCATCATTACCACCATCATCATCATCGCAATATAATCATCATCGTCATCACCATGATCACCATCATCATCATCATCCTCCTCATCATCATCATCATCATCATCATCATCCTCGTCGTCGTCGTCGTCGTCGTCGTCGTCGTCGGGGCGCGTCCGCGCCTGAGCCTGCGCCTGCTGGGCCTGCACCCGCTTCGAGCGCGGCGTCTGACACTTGCGGCAGATCGCGTTGCGCTTGAACTGAGAGGCAGGCGGGAAGGCGCGGGCATCTGGAGGGAGGTGCGCAGCGAAGGTTCAGGAAGAGGGGGAGGACCTTTGAAACTCACGACATGGCGAGGCCCACACGTGGGCGCCAGGTCCCATGAGGAAGAGGGAAAGGAGGGGGAGGAGAGGGAGGTTGGAAAGGTAGAGGAGGGGTGGGGAAGGAAGAGGAGGAGGAGGAAGAGTAGGAGGAGGAGGAAGAGGAGGAGGGGGATGCAGGGCTTGATAACTTGAGGGGTACAGGTGAGCCACATGCCCAACAAAAGCTCACGCACATATATTTACACAATGCCACCCCTGACCCCCCTTCAGGTCTCCGCTCACCCCCCTATCCCAAGGCTTGGACAGGAGTCAAACGGAGGGGGTTGGGCCATTCCCTTTGCGCTGCTCCCCTTTGCACCAATCCCCTTCACGCAACTTCGCACCCAGCAAGCACGATGATCATCGCACTCTCGGGACGCAACCACCAAAAGGACGACTCTCCAGTCCAGACCGCGACGCGCTGCTTCCTTCCGCGACCACGCGGGTGACCTTCCCTGAACCAGGACGTGGCCCCAGACGACACCGCCCCCCGCCCCCGACGCCATTGCGGCCGTCGTCGCCGCCGCCGTCGTCGTCGTTGCCGTTGCCGCCGCCGACGCCCTCGCCGCCGCCGACGTCACCGTCTCCGCCGCCGACGTCACCGTCTCCGCCGTCGTCGCAGCCGCCGCCGACGCCCTCACAGCCTCCGTCGCCCTCGTCGTCGCCGTCGTCACAGCCGCCGCCGACGCCCTCGCCGCCGCTGGCGTCACCGCCGCCGCCGTCAGCGCGGCCGCCGTCGACGCCGTCGTCGGTGTCGACGCCACCGTCGGGGCCTGCGCCGCCGCCACCGTCGTCGCAGTCGCCGCAGCCTTCCCCGGCACACGTCCGAGGCCAGGCGGAAGGCTGGCCGCACACCCGCGGCGCCCCTGCGGCCTGCAGGTCGCCGCAGCCCGAGCACACCCAGTCGCCGGGCTCCGCGAACCTGCGCCGCACCACGGGCCAGCAGCAGGTCGTCGAAGGCCACGCCGGCGCCGACAGCGACGACACCGCACGCGACGAGGCCGACGCCGACGGCGGCGGCGGCCGCGGCGGCCGCACGCAGCGACGAGGGCGGCGGCGGCCGACGGCCGCGGAGGCAACACCGACGACGGGGTCCACGGCGACGCCGGCGACGGCGGCGACTGCGAAGACGACGTTGGCGCGCCGACGCTTGCGACGACGGTGGTGGCGGCAACGACGCCGCCGTCGGCGATGGCGGCAGCGACGACGACGTTGACCAGGGGCGAGCGAAGAGGGGAGGGAGAGGGGAACAGGAAGGAGGGGTCGCGCGCGGAAGCGACGCAGCAGCGTCGCATCGGCGGGGGTCGCGTTCCGCGGTGCAACGGCGAAGTGGGACCACCACCGCGACGGCGACGGCGACGGCGACGGCGAGGGCGACGGCGACGGCGACGGCGACGGCGACGGCGACGGCGACGGCGACTGCGACGGCGACGGCGACGACGACGACGACGACGACTACGACGACGACGACGACGACGACGACGACAACGGCGGCGGCGGAGGCGGCGGCGGCGGCGGCGACGACGATGACGAAAGCGAAAACGGAAAACGACGACAACCACGGCAGCAGCGACGGGGCACCACGGCTTTCCGTCGGCGCGCTCCTTATGGCCGTCCATGGGCTTCGTTGCCCCGCACCTCGGGTCATCCCCCACCCTCTCCCCCTTCCTCCTTCTCCTCCTCCTCTTCGTCGGCATGCTTTCGGGCACTCCACGTAGCGTCTTCCATTCCTTCCCCTTATGAACAACTCCTCCCTGTCGCACCCTAAAGCCGGTCAAAAGGGCGGGCCAGGCGTTTCGCGTGAGACTTCCTCACCATCTATGATCCTGAAGCTCAAAATTTGCAAGAGCTTCACAGTCGGAGAGCGATCCGTTTTCAAAATGTGAATCTCGCCCTAGCGCCGCGCACACTCGTCTCAACAATTTGCGTGAGTGTACGGATGGAGGACGGTTCCTTTTCAAAACGTGGCTCTCGCCTTTGCGGCGCGCACATTCGCCCTAAGAATTTGCAAGAATTACGAAGTTTCTCATACTGAACGTCCCAGATTTTTTTTTTGCCACGATGTCGGAATGTCAGGGCGCAGCAGTCATGTTGATTCGGGGTGTAGAAGTGGCAGGAATTGATTTCTGGCGCGATTCAAGATAGACGCAACAGTAACGGTAATCCGCAGCTTTGAAGTCCACGGGAAAGCGTTCTGGCACAATTCCAGATTTTCAAACGGTTGTCTTCCAACGGGGCATTTCCATCAGTAAAAATGTCCGTGCAGGAGCCTATGAAGAGGGAATTTGGAGAAAGGGTGTGTTGCAACCACCACCTCCTCCTCCTCCTCCTCCTCCTCCTCCTCCTCCTCCTCCTCCTCCTCCTCGCCCGGTCCGTCCCCCTCCACATCTCCCTCCTGCGCGCCCTCCCCCACACCCGACTAAACGCTTGCTTCACACGTCAGGACTTATTGGAAACTGAATACGATGGCTGACGTTACATAAGAATCACCTCCAGCGCAGACGACAGGAGAAATGCGAAGTCATTCGATACTCTCCTAGACTTTCTGTCACACCCAACAACCTCCAGAAATCGCGGAGCACATCTGAACAAATATGGCCCGCAAACATGTCGGTGCCACGCCTGCTTCGAGACTAGCATGGGCCCCTAGACCTCTCCACCACCATCCCAAAAGCTGGCTTCCCATCCCGAGCTGTCTTCTGGCCCCAGGGCCCAGACAGCTCCTGGACGTTGATTTTGTTTCGAAACTGGCTGGCCTCTCAGCGCCCCTCGAACGGGGTACTCCACCAACTGGTACTTTGGCCAGCGACCCGGCGAGCCCAACCCTCCCCGATGTGGTCAGCAATGGCCACAAGAGGCTCCAAAGTGGCAGCGTTCGTCAGGTTTGCGAAGTCCCCGTTGGGGAGCACTAGCACCATGACGGCGCGAAGTCGCTGAGCCTCTACTTTGTCCAGCCGGCCGATGGTTTGGGGATCCCCAGAGGCATGCGGCAGCACGGGGTTGCGCGCATACTTACGGGTCGCCGCCAGAGGGTGCACGGGGCCGGAAGCCCAGGACGTTTCCCGCCCGGGACGGCCCAAAGACCCCCCCCCAGAGGCCTCCTGGACCAGGAGAAAGCACGCCGTAAACAGATGTCGGAGCTCCGCGCGGACCTTCGAAAGTTTCTGTTGGTGCCGATGTTCCGTCTTCGGCCCAAGGCCTCCTGGACACCCCTCGAAGGCCCCAAAAGGCACGCTGCCGGGATAGGCCTGAGGCCACTACAGCAGGCCCACGTCGCAATGGCGTTGGGGCTGGCTTGCGGTTCCTCCTCCTCCTCCTCCTCCGTAGCCATTTTGGCTCAAGATGTTTGCTTTGGGAGGCTGTTCGCCTCCAGGCAGAGTGGATACCGCCAGTCCGCGACTGTCACGGCCTGTTCAGGCCCAGCATCGACTTTGCCTGCTACTGCAGGGGCCTTGCGAGCGGCCCAAGCTCTTTTCATATCACGTGCTGCTCGCGCTATGGGTGGCACTACTGACGAACGGGATCGTCGCCCGTGGGCTATTGCTGGACGTCCTCGCCGCTGGGGAGGAAGGGTGCCAGCGAAGGGCGCTGATTCCGATGGGGACAAGTAGGACAAGTGAGCGAACAGCGAGAGTGGCTGGCACACTGTGGCAGATGCGAAGCAGCACGTCCATCACTGCCAATGCCGCAGGAACCCGAAGGGCGCCATCTTCTGTAAGCACTGCGGGAAGAAGCTCGGTACTAATCCCACGATCACCATCGATGATAAAGATGCAGTGCAGTGCCCCCACCTGTCGGCGGAAGCGGCAAAGGAGGCGCTGCTGGAGATAAGGGAAGCCAAGGAGGCAAGAAAGGTGGCAAGTCCTCGGTGGGCAACCTGTCCTACCCCCAGGTCCTGTGACCGCTATCGAGCCTGCCAAGGCCATGGAGCTCCAGCGGATGGCGGCGGCGGCAGGAGACACTGCGGGGCGGTTCGCTACGAGGCGTTGGCGAAGCGACGCCAACTGTCGGCCCCCAAGCCGCCAACTACGAGGCAGCGGCTTGAGGAAGCTGAGCGGCGGCAAAAGAAAATCCAGAAGAAGCTCAACAGTGACTATGCGAAGCTGCTTCGCTGGCGGAAGGCGACGGAGGAGCTCACGTCGTCGATCAAGTCTCAGCAAGATGACCTGGCCAAGACTGACTCTGAAGTGCGAGCGACTCTCTCGGAGCTACCGCTGCAGCATGGCTCCGATGCCCCAGGAGATCCAAAGTCAAAGGTCGTTCCCACGATCAGCCTGCGCAAGGTCGTGCAAGGAGAGGTGGATCTGTCTTCTCTCATTTCTGTGGACGGCTTCATTGACTTGGAGTCGATAAAGGAATCCCACGACGTCTCGGAGGCAGACACCCAGGAACTTGAGGACATCTGACGCGGTCAAGCAGATGCAGGATTTGTTCAAGGAGGTTTTCGGTTCAGCTCTCGCCAAGGCCAACGAGTGCAACGAGGCCCACAAGCAGCACCTCGACCGCCTCTCTGGCAAGAAAAGGAATACGGTGGGACCCGAACAGGAGGCCGCAGCACCCCCAGTCCACGCAAGTGGAGACTCGCTGGACTGCGGGTCGATTGCCAACTAGTCCAAGGATGCGGCCGTGCAGGATATCAAGATGGGCATTCGTGCTCTACTGGCTGGTGACGCAGCTGCACAGGCCGCAGCACCGCTGTCTCTTTAGCCAGGCGTCGACAACGGCTTCCTTGTCGTCAGGCGCACTCACCGCCTCCCTTGAGGAGCGGCAGAGGACGCCACAAGGAGATCGGCGTCGCTTTCTGGCCCGGCGTCGTGGACCCTCCTGCTCATCGGTTGCCTCGCCGCCTTCGTCGCCGGGCGCTCGACGGAGCCATTGGCCTGCCATCAGGCAGTTGAGCATGACTCGCGGGGAGAGCACCTGTGCGCAGAGCGTGGGTCGAGCTCTTCTCCGATCGGCCACTCTCCCTCTCGGTGTCAGCATCGACCTGGAATGGGAGGATGACTGGAACTATTGACTACCTACCAGACCACCCCAACCCAACCCGAAGGCCCGAATTTCGGGTTGGGGGGGGTATGGGCTCCATATGTGTTTTTTCGACGTTCCCGGATCCCCCCCCCACTAGAACTGTAACAGGCAAAGCTCCTGAGGAGCTCAAAAAGAGCAAACCCCCTATTATTATCGAAAAAATAGAAACAAGTTGCCCCCTATTATTATCGAAAACATAAAAACATAAAAACAAACCGCCCTCGATTTCTAGTGACTAGAAATCGAGGGTAAATCCGACCCTTCGGGTTGGGTTGGGGTGCTTTGGTGGGTGGAGAACGATCGGAGGAGCCGCCGCTGGCGGCGCCGACGCGGGACGCGCACTCGAGGGGCCGGCTCACCAGCACCGCGACCGCTCCCGTGGAGGCCGTGGGGAAGCTGGGGGCCCTTGCTCGCGGAGGAGGAGGAGGAGGAGGAGGAGGAGGAGGAGGAGGAGGAGCTGGACCTCGGCGAGGTGCGCTGGAAGCTCGAGCGCGTCGACCTCGAGGGCGACGACCCGATTGCCGTCTACTTGGGCGACCACGAGGTCTGCCACGGGTACGGCTGCTCCCACGGGACCAGGGACTGCATCCTCGCATCGGTTTCAGCTACCGCTGGAAGAATGCATCCCCACCGAAATATCGTCGGACTTGTCGAGTTTCTCGGTGAGCACCTCGAATGCTAACACGCGGCCAAGAGCAAAAAAAACGCTATCATGGCTCGATGCGGAACCTGGCATGCCACATGTTCTCCGCATCCAGGAGACAGTACTTGAGGCCTCGGCTGAAGCGGGTGCCCACCAGTGGACCAGGGCCTGCTCTAGGAAGTTGGCTTTAAAATTCGACGCGACGCACTGGCACGGCATCCCGAGCACGATCGGCAGGTGTGGGCCTCTCCTCCTCAGGCATTGGCATTGGCGTGGCGATGATCCAGATCCCAGAGAGCGTGATCCGCCGCCACTTTACTGTGGAAAATTGCCAACCTTTTCCTCCGGAACCCGGGGGTCGCCCCTCCCCCCCCCCTCCGAAAATCCGCCCCCCCTGCTGGACCCCCCCCCTCCCCCGGCAAACCCCCCCTCCCCTAACCCCTCCCCCCCCCCTCCCCTCGAAAACCGGGGGGGGTCACTACCGGTTCGAACCCCCTCCCCCCCCCCCTCCGGATCCAGAAAACCGGGGGGGGTCACTACCGGTTCGACCCCCCCCCCCTCGAAAACGGAGGGGGATCACTACCGGTTCGACCCCCCCCTTCCCCCCTTCCCACGCACCGCCAGCAAACGACTCCTGGTCCCTACCACCGCCCGCATCACATCCCCCACTGTTGTTCCCAGCACCACTGTCCTCACCACCACTGTCCCCACTGGTTCAACCACCGTCCCTACTGTCCCCACCAGTGCCCCCACCACTGTCGCACTGTCCCCACTGTCCCCACCACTGTTCCCACCACGGTTCCACTCTCCCCACCGTCTCCACGGCCCCAACCACTGCCCGATTATCCCCACTGTCCCCACTGTCCCACTGACTCCTCCGCTGTCCCAGTGAGCTGTCCCACTGTTCTCACCACTGTCCCCACTGTCCCCACCATTGTCCCCACTGTACCTCTGTCCCAGTGTCCCA